AAGGTAGGATTTGGGAGAAACAACAAAAATCATGGATTTCATGTTTCTTGAGCACCCTCCTCCACTCCCGCTCTGACTTCCTGAGCCACAGGGACTGCATTTCATTTAGGAAATGATCTGGGTCTTTGGCAATCCTTACACCATCTGCTTGCAGGACTTGGCCAGATTTCAGACCCCCAGGGACCATCGCTCACCTCAAGGGAGATTAGAGAAAAATCTCTCATGCCGTCCTCCCCCCGCCCCCAGGAAAAAGGCTGAGTAGTGGAGTGACCACGTTCTCTCCCAGCAAGCTCTCCCGGCAGTGAGGTCGGGTGGAGGCTGCAGCCCAGAACCACACACGAACGGAAAGACTGCAGAGCACCTGGGGTCTGAACACCAGCTTTTCCAGCGCCGGTGCTGCTGACGTGGTGGCCCGCAGCCGGCTGAGGCACTGAGGCCGAGGCACTGAGGAGGCTCCCGGACAGCACTTCGGTGGGCCCTCTGACTTTCTACAGAGAAACACCCCAGGGCTCAGAGCTATGAAATGAGGAAATTGAATACAGATATTACGGAGCTGGGACCCTGCAGTGTGGGGGCAACCGTCTCTGCCAGGGCTGATGTGTGGAACCTGGATCTTGGCGATGCTTGGTGGAACCAGTCGTAACTGGGAAATGACAACCAAATCCCTACATACCTTCTGGCCAGTGTGTGGTGGACTAGCTTCACCCACCTCAGAAGTCCAAATCCCAGGGTTCTCCTTGGCATCCTTTGGCTTTTTGTACACAGCAGGGCAGAACCTTGAATTCAGTTCCAAGCACAGTTCCTGTGCCTCTTCCTGCTTCTCCAATTCCTTTCCCAGTTGAGGCCTCTTCCCTCCCCAACCATGTGATAAGCAATTTGACAAAAGGCCCTGCAGACAGACGGATGTACAACAGCCTGCTCCAGGCGGTGTTTATTAGACTGAAGTATCTATCCTCTCTGGGTCCAGACAGAGGCAGTGGGGTGGTGCAGAAATACACAGGAGAGCTGGATCTGATGGTTCAGACCTGTAATGCTCGTTCCCTGGTAGGTAAGGAGATCCCATGTTTAAAGCTTGCCTGAGTTACTCCAAATTCAAGAATTCCCTGGATAACTCAACAAGACCCTGTGACTGCCTCTCTTTTTTGGACAGGGCTGTCCTGGAATTCCCTATGTAGACCAGGCTGGTCTTGAACTCAAGAGATATCCATCTGCCTCTGCTTCTGCCTCGAGTGCTGGGATTAAATGTATGAGTCATCACGCCTAGCTTAAAAGTCAAAACAAAACAGACCAATGGAGGCCTAAAGGGTAGTCAGTGGTAGAGCACTTGCCCAGTGTGCACGGGCATGGTCTGGGGTTGAGTCTTCAGTACTCCAACAATAACTAACTCATCACTAGGGAAAGACAGCTCAGTTGGTAGAGTGCTTGCTTAGTCTCATGAGACCTTAGGTCCGATGCCCACCACCATATGAACTAGGCATGGCAACTCGGGCCTGTGATCCCAGCACTCAGGGGTTAGATGAAGAAGACTCAAGGTCATCTCTCAGGCATTTATTAAGACCTTGTCTCAAAGGACAAAACAAATCCTGCATCAAGCAAAAAGCTCAGCTGCACTGTCACGGGCCTTTGTCCTTCCATGCCCTGGACCCAGAGGGTCAAAGCTCCTGGAGTTTCTGATTTGCAAGGGGGAACTGCTCATGCCTGACACTGGGTGGGTAAAGAATGGAGGCTTTTCTGTTCCAGGTCTTTTTCTTCCTTAGAAACAAGGAGCTTTTCAATTACAGCCTTTTCCTCTTTGTAGAAAGCCTCTTCAATGAGAGGTTTATAATCTCTTGTGGGTCCTGGAGGGTGCCATTCTTAAGATGGCCAGAGCCCCTGGGGAGGAGACAACATGTGCCTATGAAGGGGGCTGGGTACACAGCCTGGCATGGATTGAAGGGAAGATTGGACAAAGGCCCTGGAGCCTTGCTTTCTTTGGCCTATTTCAATCCAAACCACTCAACACTGACCACTCACGCATGGCTGCCCCTAGGCACAAGCTTTCTTTTCCTTACCGTGCTCCCACCCAGCCACCACCTTGCCTTCGCAAACACTTAAAAAAAAAAAGAAAAGAAAAGCTGGCTTCAAATGCCTTGACAGCTGAGACTGGAGAATGGAAATATATATATGGCACATTTACAGCCTCCAAAAGGCTGTGTGTGTCCTAAGACAGAAATGACACCCCTTGGGAAGGACACTTACCTCCACCCAGCTCTGACAAACTGAAGAAAAGGAAGGCAGGGACTTCCCACAGGAAAAGAGGCATGCTAGAACCCTCCAGACATGCTGGGCAGAGAGGCCTAGGGGCTATACATAACAGGAGTCTTACAAAAGGGGCTGTTGACACAACCAAAGAGCTCTAGTCTCAGATGTGCTCACTGAAGAACACCTGCGGACCCTAAGAAAACTATGGCCAAGGCTGGCAAGGAAGGCGACCAGGCTCTGGCAGGAGCCTAGGCTAGCCCACAATTAAGATGCTTTCCCTGTGATGGTAGCTATTAGGTACACTTATTTTGGCCGAACTCTGGCTCCCAGTTGAAGAAATAGCACACTCTAGTTCCAGAACCTGGCAACCCAGCACAACTTGTCACCCCTTTCAACCGGGGAACCAGGCTCTGGTTGATTTGACAGGTCCTCAGAGGCAGCCATTTGGCAACTTTCCAAACACACACCTGGAGCCCCCTCCAGAGAGTTGCTGAGTGTGGGAACAGGGCTGAACCTCACAGGAGGCCCCACTTTCTCCTTCCACCCGGCAGGGAACATGTTCCATAATGTGTATACAACAAGCTTCCGGATGTTCAACCAGGCACACATTTGTCCAGGATCATTAAGAGGAGCTGGTTGCCCTTGGTTACAAAAAACAGGAATGGCAGGGGCAGGAACACCCAGATACAAGTGTGCAGAGGCCAGTGTGCCAGCCGGCCATGGTCCAACCCAGGCAGTGGCTTCTCTGGACTATGTCCCCATTTCCTGTGGCCTAGGGCCTGCCTGGTCTGGCAGCACTAGCCTAGATCTGGAACCCAGCAGCCACAATAGTTGCTGCTACAGGGCTGGCTCCTCTGAGTCCAACGGCAATTTCAGTGACAGGCCTGGCTGCCTGAGGTACTGGCCAAGCTAGCACAGTAAATTTCTTTCACTGTATCTGTTGGTGGTGGGGGAGGGAGCAGATGACTATAAGGCCATACTCAGTCGTTAAGAGTGCTGGCCTGGTGCATACCTGGACTCCTGCAGGCAGGAAGAGGAGAAATTCAAGGTCATCACTGGCTACAGTTTTAGGTCAAGGTCATCACTGGCTACAGAAGACCCTGTCCCCAAGCCCAGTGTGATAGTGCACGCCTTTAATCCCAGCACTCAGGGAGGCAGAAGCAGGCAGATTTCTGGGTTCAAGGCCAGCCTGGACTATAAATTGAGTCCAGGTTTGCCAAGGAGAGAAACCCTATCTCAAATAAAACGAGGGGAAGGACACTTGTTCCAAAAAGGAAAAGGGGGGGGGGAGGGAGTAAATAAAAAGCAATACAAGCAGGAAATGGTAGCCCACACCATACTTCCAACACTGTGGAGGCTGGGTCAAGTTCAAGGCTGGGCTGTGCTCCCTAGTAAGGCCCTGTGCCTAAGAAACCAAAAAATAAACAAACAAACAAACAAAAGACTGGGAGTGGCATCTTTAATCTCTGCACAGCAGAGGCAGGCAGATCTCTAACTTGGAGGGCAGTCTGGTTTACCGAGCCAGTTCCAGGGTAGCCAGAACCACAAAGAGAAACAGTGTCTCAAAAATCCAAAAATTATACTGAGTAAGTACCTACTTGAGGATCAACCTTGATCTTGCCTCCCCTGGATAGGACACAGCAAAGGCTGGGCCAGTGACAAGACCACACAGGTCTAAATCCTGAAGGCAGACAATATCAGCCTGAAAAGGACCTAGACCTCCAGCATGTGACAATGACTCCACCCCTCATTTCCTACGACTGCTTCTGGAGCGTGTCAAGGAACACAGAAGAAAACCTGTTTCCAGCCCTATGCTCTTGAATTATTACTTGCTAACCTTCAACAATCCACAAAGAAAAGCCACTCTGCTCTCAGGCCAGGGAGTACCCATGAAGCACCAACAGGCACGCTCGTGCCTGCACAGCCTTGCTTCTGCTGTTCCAGGCAAGTGCTTTTGATGTTCTTGGCAACAGCACTCAGAACTGAAGGAAGCTGCCCTTCTGGGGGTAAGAACTGCCCATCAGAAAGGCACAGTCTAACCAGGTTTTGAATGTCAGGCAGCAGTGAGCTCTGGCTCTGGTGATACTTAACGGGCTAAAGGGGAAGATCTATGAAAAAGGCCAACGAACACCTGCCCAGCCATCACTGCAGCCTGCAGGGCTCGTAGCACAAGGTATACTGAAATTCTCAGTGAAGCCTGAGCAGGAAGCTTGGCTGGATGGCTTCTGGATCCCTCAATACTATCAGACAAATTGAAGTTCCCATCACAAGCATTTTCCCCAACAGCATGTACGAACACTGGGATGAAGATGGCAGCAGGTACTCAGGAATGAGCTTTTCATGCTAGCAAAGGCAAGGCTGGAATTACTGGGAAACAAAGGTGGATCCTTCCTCTGTACACACCAGCCATCATCCATCACCACCTTGCCATCAGGGAGGAACTGCCCCAGGGAAACAGCTGTTCAGAGTTTGTCTTTCTCGTTAGGGATCTGGAACTTAATGTGCCTGGTTAATTCTCCACACAGCCACACTGTCCTACCGCCCTGTACCCCGAGCACTTGGTGGCCTACCCAGCTAGTCTCCAACAGGAAAGATGGGATTCCCTGCTCCGTACAGAGACAAACCATTCCCTACGTATCAAAAACAGGCTAAGCAGGTAGAGTATCAGTGCCTGGTGTTGACCAGGATCTGATCAAACCTGGGACCGGAGACCAACACCAAACAGGTATAAGGACAAAGAACTCACTCTGGACTAAAGGTCGGTGGAAACAGAGACACAAGTGTCTTTAATTTGGCAGAAAGGTTAACAGTGATTTTCAACAGTAAAGTTCATAAATACAGAAAAGGTGGTTTTCTCAGGGAGTAAGACTTCAAATGATAGCCTACATGTCTGATAATGGCAAAAGAACCATTTAAGCATAGAAGACTACACATTTGCTTGGGATTAAAGAATGATCAGAAATGTACAGAGGAGAGCTGGGGGTGTAGGTCAGTATGCTTATCTAGCGTGCACGAAGCCCTGAGCTTGGGCTTTAGCACACCACATGAAACCTGTCACAGTGGCCACATGCCTGCAATCCCAGCACCTGGGAGGAAGCAGCAGGAAGATCAGAAGTTAAGGTTGTCCTGGTTATACAGTGACTCCAAGGCCAGCCTGGGTTACAGCAGACCCTGTCTGGGAAAGAAAAAGGAAGCCTACTACGGGGAAGCCTGGAGTGTCATGATCTGGCTTTAAGTGGTTTCTGAGTGCAGCTTTAGAACCCAGTAGAACAGCTAGCCTGCGCTTTAAGGTCATCCCAGCTCAGAAGATAACCAAAAGGCATGTATTAGTACGCAGGAACATGGCGGCTGTTAAATACAAGTGCACATTCTCTGAGATTTGTCTGCTTCAAGCTGTGAAGAAACTGCAGCCCAGGGATCCCAGGCTTCTCAGGAGTGGTCTTGTTCAGTGGTGGGGGCCTGAGCTACAGCTCCAATTAAGGGCCTGGAGGAGCCACACAGGTTGCTGGGGCAGACGAAGCACGTTCCAGCACGACGAGGCTGGGTGTGCCCACCTGCACCTGTCTGCCTAGGGTTAAGGGCTATTTCTTTGTTACCATCATGTGAAGGAAAGGAAGGATGCCTATGCAGCACACCTTACAAGTGTCACAACTACTGGCTTGTGCACACCAAATCCCAGGGAAAGGAGGGAACCACAGCTTGTCACTTATCCCCACGACCTTTTTGGGGTGCTGAGGCTCTGTCACACGGCCACAAACTCCAGGCTTTTTTGTATGGACGGTAAAGGTCATTTGTCACATACTTGGTGACATTTTACTCATCTTGGCCTTGGGAAAGGGTAAGCTCTTTCAGGTGAGGTTTGGTCCCATCTCTGTGGTGCTCAGTAAAGGAGGGATCTGGAAACCAGGGTCACTTGAGTCCCTGTGTCCGAAGGCAGGAGCTCTGTCCGGGAAGGTGTGCAGCTCTCTGGCTCTGCCCCAGACTTTTCTCCACCTCCACAACACTCTTTATTGCAAATACAAACACCACATTGGGAGTTTTACTCAGCAGCCATAAGCACTGGCAGAAAGCTATCAAAATATGCTAATGTTGAAATCAGCTCTTATACACCAGTTAAAGATTTTGGACAAACTAGAGGTTTAAAAAGAAAAAAAAAAAATTAACAAAAGGATTATGTTACCATCTGAGCCACAAACATATCCACTCAATAGGGAAAACACTAAAAGCCAATCAACGCAACCCAACCCCACGCTCTGGTAAAACCTTTGTTTCTGCAGACACAGATGCTGCTTAGACTATTTAGTCCTGAGCTGGATGAGACAGCACACCCTGTACACTCTTTTCAAACCCCCTAGGGGCATGTCCTAAGAATGGTTTTCAGAAAGAGAAGTGAGGTCCCGAGGAAAGCGGAGCTGAAGAATGGGATGACCGAGTCTATGAAAACCCCGTGTTGTCCTACTGAGCTTCTGTCCAGCTTGTATTCTTCCGTCGTGTTTTTCAAATGTTCAGGGAATACTTGCTTTGTTGCCACTACACACTGAACATTTCCTACCATCTCTGAAATGATGGAGGAAAACTGAGACAGTCCCTGGCTTGACAAAAAAAAATACAGATGCCCTCTACCCAGCGCTGACACAGCGAGCAGGTGGCAGGGCTGTGGCTGACCTGCAGAAGTAGAGCTCTGAAGATATGTTCCATGTTGACAAGTCCTTCACTTTCATGCTTTATTCAAAGATGAGTATGGTTTAAACACAGGTATTGTTTAGCAGGTTGTGTCTCTAGACAGTCATCTGGAGTTCAGAGCAGGATGCTGGTCCATGTACTGCAACACAAATCCGCTCCTGACCAGGGCATCTGTATGAAGCCAGGACTTGATTCCCTCCTGGGACTCTAAATCTCGTGTGTAAACATGATTTACTCTTACTGCTACTCTGCTTGCTCAGTCCTTACTCACCCCCTCCCTCCCACCACCACTTAAATAGAAAATCTGAAACATTTCCTTCAAGTCTGATGTCCATCAGTGCAATCTGCTTTATTTGACATAAGGCAATTGGGACAGTCTGTTTTGAATGGAGATTTGCCTTTTGGAAGAGCCAGGTAATAAGTTTAATTCTTAAATCCACATTTTCTTTAATGCCCTAACATGTCAAGTTCTTCTTCCTTTCTGGTCATTCCTTGGCAGTCAGCAAGTGGTCAAAAACTAATGTCCAAGCAGACCGGTACCTGAAATAGAGCACACACGGAGGATGGCTAAAATTATGAGTCTGTGTATTCTGTCTGGCAAGAAATGTGTCAACAGGGAATATCCACTATAACAAATGAACACAGGGGTCCTTGGCACAGATCAACACAAAATACCAGCAGACTCCAAGCTTTCAGTGAAATCCCAGTTTGGTTGACAGCCATGTTTCCTATGCACATCACACAAGTTAACCTGGGTTTCACCGATGCTTTCATTTCACAGCCATGCCCATAAAATAAATAAGTAAGTAAGTAAGTAAATATATATATATATATGTATATTTTTTGCTTTTGTATTGTTTAGATCCTACCACAAGTTCGTTCGTGGCATTCACATGCAGACAACAGAGCCACACAGGGAGGAAGATGGTATTTAGGCCAGGAGCTTTGTCACTGTCCAAAGAGGAGCCGCTGACATTTGACTCGATCTCACTGGGGCAGAATCACAGCCCAGCCCAGCCCAGCCCAGCGCCTGCACCTGCCAAGGGTCTGCACAGCACCACGCTGAGGAGTCAAAAGTAGTCTCCAGCGGAAAATCTTCATAATTAATGAAACCCTGCACTGACCTGATTTAATTCTGCAAAGTCTTCCACCACTAATTCTAACCAGTTACACACTAGCTGCCCTGCTGAGATGGAACTGATAGGAACACTGGGCAGAAGGTTAAATATAAATCTAGAAATGAAACTCATTAAATCCCAACCTCCCCTAAAATGAAAATGAGGGAAGAATCCTCACACTCAGGCCTGATCTCAGTGCTGAAGAGAGAAGCTGGAACAAAAATGCTTTCAGCTAAAATTAATTTTAGTCATGAGACTTGGATTGGATTAAATTTTAAAATCAAATTGCAGCCACACTGTGGCTGTGGCATGGAGGAAGCATGACAAATGCCTTACCTTTAAAGCCCTCTTCCGGCATACAAACTGCAGAAAGAAAAGATTCCAGAGTGAAAGACAGCCTGTCAGTTAGCAAGAACATGCCAATGTTTCAAGATGATAAGTTGAAAATAACTTTTAATTGCCTTAGTCACCTGGATGACTCTTTTGAACCTATGATAGCAATCAATTGCTGATGAGCTTTCTTTAGAAAGCTAAATGCTTATGGAATGCCTGGAGAAGACTTCATTCATAGCTGACCTCTGGTCCTGCCTCCTGCCACCCCCACTGGTAAAAGCCACCATGAGGCTCTATAGCAGTCTCTTTTGATATTTATTTTCCTTCCCTTTTATTTTTTTGAAGGTTTAACTTCTATGTGTATGAGTGTTTTGTCTGCGTGTATTTTTGTGACCCCATCCATGCCTGGTACCTGCATTAGTCAAAAGGGAGACAGGCCCCTGGAAATGGAGCTACATATGGTTGCAGAACAAAACAAGTGCTTTTAACCACCTCTCTGGTTCTAGTTTAATTATGCCGGTTTTTTGGTTTGTTTGTTTTGAGACAGGGTTTCTCTGTATAGCTCTTGCTGCCCTCTATTTTAATTACTTTTGAGACAGGATCTCATACTATGTACACCAGGCTGGCCTACAACTTGGGCAATTCTCCTGTCTCAGACATATAAGTGCTGAATTACAGGCATGAACCACCACACCTGGCTCAGCATTCTTTCTAAATAACACATTTCTATTACGTTCCATATCTCAGCCTCTGATTACCTTCCAGTGAAGAACATTTAGCATTTCTCCCACCTGCCCCGCCTTGGCAATGCCATGTCTGCCTACAAGCTGCCATTGGTGTTCTCCACTGACCTGTGCCCTGAGCCCAGCAACTCCTGCACTGATCATGTGTGCCCTGGCTTCTGCATCTAGGTACTTCACTTCCATCATCACGTGTGGAAAGCTTATCCTAAAGCCATACCCAGCCCCAAATTTGGACCAGTGTCTACACTGTCTGCCACACAATCCAGGCTCTGAAATCGACTTTCCCATCTCCTAGTACTTCCAGTCCCATGTCTGATCCTTCCGTACCATGTCATCAACCCTTTGATTAAGACTGCATCCCTACATAGCATGCGGGCAGGTAACTTTGGAGGCTTTCTGTGAGTTTAAGTCATCGGGCAAGTGAGCACAATTGGTCTGTCTAGCTGTAGATGCAAGGGCCAGAACCCTCCCAAATCTGTCCTAAGAAAGCAGCCCTGCTTCTTCACTGTGGAATACCCTGAGTCAGTTTATTCCTGTTTTTTTTTTTTCTTTCCTAGAAATGTCCCTTTTATACATAGCCTAACTACCATTTACCCATTTTTCTCTGTGGTTTTGCTTAGTTTTATAGAAAAAGGTTTGTTATATAGCCAGGACTGGCTTTGAGCTCACAATCCTCCTGTCTCTGATTTCCAAGTGCTGGGACTGTAGGACTGTATTATGCCCAGTTATATGTAGGCCATTTTTAAGTTTCCTGGTGCACTCTACAATATTTCTTTTTAGTTTGCTCAAGACACCACTGTTTTCATGTTCTCAGTTTGTTCCTCAGTTGTCATGTGACACTGGCTGTCTACTCAGCCTATAAAGTGTAAAACTACCACAAAGCTCCATCACTGGGCACAGTGGGTTCACAGCAGTCTTGGGAGATTAACTGGCTTCTTACCAGCGGTAACTTACTCTCTCATGTTGGCCTGTTTCCCTGGAAGGAATTCCCTTGGCACTGGGCTACCGGAACTGGAACACTAAGGGGGAGGGCACTCTTCCTTTAGTGCACATTTTTTCCAAGTGCCGAAGTACGAACTATAGCTAGCCTCTGAGGTACCCAGTGTACAAGGGGTGACATAGATATGAATGGAATGAGTGGGAAGGATCACAGGGTGCACAGCTGTCTAACTGTTTCTCACACGGGCTTTTGTGAAAAGGGGATAAAGTGTACCTACCCTTGGAGCTGCAGAGCCTCCTATTCCTGTGTAGGTCATACTTTCTTTTGACCTCTTACACACCCAAGGCTTACCTTTTTCAGGTTTCCTCATGTTAATAAACAATGACTGTACTCCCTGCTTTCCACTTCCCAAACCTTTACCCCACACTATGACTAACACCGGGAAGTTCTCCCTTAAGAGCATGCAGTAGCTTTCTCCCCCCCCCCCCCCCCCCCCAAGGATAAAAGTAAAGGCCAGGACACTTCAGCTTCTATCTACTCCTCCACATCCTAGGTTCATCTCCAGCTCCTGAAAGCAAACTGGTTTTACCTTGCATGACATCATCCATTGCAGCGTAGTCTGCAATTGGTTCATCAGCCTAGAAAACAAATGGAGACAATTCAGAACCACATGGAAGAAGGGGTTGAGCAGGCTAGTCACGTGTCACCCGAAGCCTGTCCTGTGGTTCCAATACTGCTACAAAGCCTGCCCCACAGTCCTTACCCTTTTACTAAGTCCCAGCCTCAGGGTAGCAAAGTGGTACTGCCAGTCCACAAAGGGTTTTCTATTTAGAAAAGAGACCTGTTTTAATGGAACAAGCCTAGATCCCTCAGGCCAGCAGCTGGGGCTGCTCCATTAGCAGGAGTCTGCTTCACAGGCGACTGAGGAACAACGTTCCTCAACCATTCAGTGCTGCGTAGCTTTATACAAACAGCTGGTACTGGGCAGGAGGGGTCTTGTTCCGACTCTCAGATGCCCTGCCAACTCAAGGCATACTATATGTGACAGGGCACTGCTTTCTTCCTCCTAAACACATCTTTAAATGGGCAAGGTGTGAAGTAGCTCTGTTTAAGGGGAGATAACTGCAAAGACACAGAAGCTGAGGACAGTCCAGATCCTCGCTCTTGACAGGCTGCAGAAGCCTTGTATGGAGCCATTCTGGAGGCGCGAAGTTGATTTAGCAACTCAACAGGTCTCCAATATCTCACTGTAGACTACAGTTCTGGGAAGAGTAAAGAGTCGTCATGGAAGGGCTGGGCCTGCTAGAGACAAAGATGTGCCTGCTTTGTTGTGTCATCCTAGCTCACTGAATCAGAACTGGGGGATGAATTACAAACACATGCAAATCTCAGGTCAGGCATCTTTGGAATTACTCTACCACATAATGCATTGTTGTTTGGTACAGCAGGGTCCTTCTAGAAAGGGTCCTTCACAGAAACAAAAAGATGCCAAGAGATGCCACAAAATGAGCACTTGGGGAGTGGAAGACGGGGCTAATGAGGTCTCAGATGACTCTTCCTAAAACACACTGGACACCCGCTAAATCCAAAGCCAAGTTCCATCCTGGACCAGAGTCTCCATTAGTCCATTGGAGTTTTGCCTGTATCTGAACAATATGCCTTAAGCCTACTCCCTTCCTTAACAGCAGATACAGGGTATCACTAATTTCAAAATCCAAAATGCTTAGTTTTCTTTCTGAGCTTGTGATAGGATATCTGAAGTACAAAATTTCCATACCCAAACTCCTTTGATGGGCCACAGTTCCAACACTAAAAATACTGTATGAAATCACATCCAGGTTGTTTATATGGAGTATACGAGAAATATCTCATTACATATATGCAAATATTTCAAGATGCAAGATCTCTGGCCCTAAGTATTTTGGAAAAGGGAGTCTCATCCCATGCCCCTGAAGCAATACAGAAGTGGAGGCCAAGCCACTGTGCTGTGCCCAAGCTGAAGTGAGTAAAGGGCCAAGCCTAGAGCTATCTAATGAGATCACAGGAGGCTCCGCTCGCCTCTATGAGATTTGTGTGTCCTGGCCAGTTTTTGTCAGTTTGATACAAGCTAGAGTTATTTGAGAAGTTATTTGAGGAAATGCCTCTGAGAGATACTTTCTTGATTAACGACAGAATGACCCTGAGGAGGTGGTCCCTGGTGGTATAAGAAATCAGGTGTACTTAGGCATGGCACATGCCTTTCATCCCAGCTGTGAGACCCTGTTTCAAAAAAGACATGAGGTTCAAGCCAGTAAGCAGCGCTCCTCCACAGCTCCTGCCCTCCTGTGTGACAGACTACAACTGTAAGCCTAAATGACCTTTCTTCCCAAGTTGCCTTTGGTCGTGTGTTCATCACAGCAACAAAAACCTAACTAGGACATTTTGTTAAAATGACAGATGTAGATTTTCAGTAGCCACAGAGTCAGCAATCCTTTTGCAGGGCACACACATATCCTCTGCGCTTTCTTGAAGGGAGGAGCATTGCAAAGAACTCATACACCCATACCCGGGTTGGTTTTGTTTTAAAGGGCAGACTCTTTAGCTAGTCAAAAACAAAACAATCCAGGCACAGTGGTGCAAGTCTGTAATTCTAGTACCCAGGAGGCCACCCTTGGCAATACAGACCCTGACTCAAAACAACACCTAAGGAATGTGCGTATACACAGCAACCAAAAGAGAAGAATGAGAGAAGAAGATGAGGAGAGGCTCACATAGACATTAAAACCAGAGACCAGGTCACTAAGGTGAGCTCAGAATGGTTCCTGGGCTGACTGTCAATCTTGGGTGCTGACCCAGGCGCCTGGCCTCTCTGAGTGGAATGAAAAATAGATCTATGGTCTGGAGCAGCTGGCCCCTTGTCAGAGAAAAATCAACGAGGAGAAATCAGGGAGATGGGGATTTTCTTGGTGGTGTTGTTTATCCTGACTCTTCACAGCACAGACACCAAACTACATAAAAGTACCAAGGGGACCAAGAGGAGGCATCTCCTTTTGTCTCCTTAGGGCACAGGCAGTGGTTGGTATTTTGTCATCACTACAGTCAGAGTGACTCAGGAGTACAAGACCCAAGTGGTATGCTGGTCCCCCCTCAGGCTCTATTAAAGAGGAACAAAAGCTCCTGCCCCCTCACCCCGAGAACTCCTCCCCAGGAAGGACCCACGCTTCTCTACCACCACTGTGCACCCATCCTCCAGCCAAGGGTGTAGCACCGACACCCAGAGGCCACAGTGGAACAACCAGCTGCTACTCACCTTTAGTAAAATGACAGACTCAGGAATGACGCCGAGGGTACCAAGAGTGGCACAGTCATCATTTAAAATCTTTCCATCAATTGACAAATTCTGGTCAAAGGGAGCGACTGAAAATGCATGCATGATCTGTGGCAATGTAAAAGAAACAAAGTCTATACAAAGGAAAACAATGAAACCCATGTCCCCTTTGAAAACATAAAACACACATTCTAAAAATCACAGAAATAAAAAATAAAAATAAAAACAAAAGGCTCCAGAGTACAAAAGCAGCCAGCCCACTGCCATGTTGTCAGAGAGTGTCCGAGGGAACCCTCCCAACCCTGTCTCAGAACAACAAAACACGCATACACACAGACAGATACCAAACCAACAAAAACAACTATGTTTAAATTAACAAGCCACTTGGACATTTTAAACATTTTTCCTCTTTAGCGAACAGCCTGGACTGTGTTGTTCAGACCTCAGAATTTTCATATATTCTTAGACTCAGTGTTGCGTCTCTGGGAACTTAAAATATGACTTTAGGAAGAGGGCCGCACGCCCAACCCCAACGCTGGCATACCCAAACACTGCGATGAGTAATTCCTTCAAAGTCTTTCCATATTCATAAAGTTAAAAAAAAAAAAAATTAAGCCAGGCTTGGTAGAGCAGGCTTGTATTTGCAACCACCTGTGAGGCTGAGGCAGGAGAATCAAGATGAAGGCCAGCCAGTGTCATTTAGTGAGGTTCTGTCTAAGTGGTAGCACACTCATCTAACTAACATGCACAAGGCCCTGGGTTCAATCCCTGATATCACAAAAAAGTAGTAACAGCAGTAACAGTTTCAATCATTTCTGGGTAGTGACTATATCCAGAGGGTGATCTTGAAAAGGCACCAAGAATGACACTTTTCTATTCTTAACAGAAAAGATAATTTTAATGAATCACTTCAAATTTTTTATTTAATCAAATCATTTGCTTTGACTTTATGTAGCACTGGGGGCCCCAGAACTCACTACTTAAGATATGCTGGCCTCCAGTTGTCAGAGATCTACCCAACCTCTGCTGGGATTAAAGGCATGCATTTATAACACTCAGTCAACACATACTCTTCAAATATATTTTGTAACACCCATTCTTATTTTATTATGCCATTATCCCTAATGCTAAAGGAGTCATCCAGATTTCATGGGGCAGAAAGAAAGGCTGTGTAGGAAATCAGTCCTAAACTACCTATGTAAGTAAGGGCTACAGAGCTGCTTAGCACAGCAGTGACTTTAATATGACCTACAGATAAGAACCTTGGCCAGGCAAAAATGCTACCCAGTCTTCTCAAAAAAGATATGAACTCCCAGAGATTGAGCAGGGACTGACTAGACAGAGGCCTGATCAGTCATGACTCCACCAGTGACCTTCTTGAAGCAGCAAACCTCTCTTCTCTACACTTCTTATTGTGCAGGAAGAACTGGCTGGCTGGCTCTGGCAACCCACACCATCACACCACCATGGAGCAGGCACACCAGCACATGCAGCCGAGCTTTGAGACAGATAATGCTGACTTCACATAGGGAAGGTCATAATCATTCCACTTGGGATGGTACCACTTCTTCACACTTGAAATGCTTACACCATGCCATGGGACAAGCACCAAACGAGACAGTAGTACCAGTTCTGAGGGGCTGACACACTGCGCTCATAGTACAGACAAGACACATAAGTGTGTTCGAAGCGGCATTCATTAAGTCAGCACCTGCCGAGTCCTGAACTAGATGTTGGGAATACACACCAGAACACCCCCAGCAAGGTCTGCAGGACAGGTGTGAGGACAGCAGGGGCTGAGATGAGGAAGACAGACAAATATGGCCGGGGTGTATGGGCAGTAACTCCCCAGCTGTGTGGCCAGCACAGGCACCGAATGTCAGCACACCATGACGGAGGCAAGGAAACGCAGGCGCTTCAGCCACTTTACCCTGTGCCCAAACACTGCCCTTTCTGAAGAGCTAGCAACACTTGGGACCAGAGATAGGAAGTGGAAGAGTGAAACCAAACCAACAAACCTATTACAGAATTCCCAGATGAACTAGCAACTATGCAAAACAACTTTATTTTATACTTAGCTAGCTCTCCAGCCCCAGAGCAGCTGTAAGGTTCTATACAATAGTACATGGTAAAGCATCTACAACCATGTGCTTACATTGAGGCACGGGGTGTCATCCTATTCACCCATCAGAGCAGCGTGCCCAAAGAAAAGGCTCTATCCTACATTAGAAAGCACCCACAGCACCACCAGGAACCGCAGGTATGCCCACACTGCTACAGTGGAAAAAGGGTCATGGCCAGCTGATGCTTTTAAAGCCACCACTGAGCAGCAAGGGGAAATTCCACCCTACCACCCTTTTCTTTCAGTCCTGTTTGATTCACAGTGCTCTTTGAAGCTAAAGTGGGAGATAAGAGGAAACACGCAGTAAGGGAAAAAAAAAAAAAATCACCCAAGAAAAGCGCGTGTGGGGTTTCATTTGAACAGCTGCTGCCATGAAGCAGCTCATCCGTGCAGGTAACACGCTCCCAGGTGGAGAGGTTATTTCTGCTGCCTTCTGATTTATTCTTCAAAAACAGTGATCCACAATAAGAGCAGAACAGGCTTTTAGAAACGTCCTTATCCACAGGGGCTCTTTTGTAATTTAAAGGTTTTGAATGCTCGAGGTTTACCACTGACAGGCAGAAAGCCGGTGATGGAAACAAGCTTCTCAGATGTAAAGGGCACAACAACAGAGGGAAGATATTATGCCAATACGTTTATTTTCAGAGCCGTGGGTTCAACCAAGGGAAATGCTGTTCTCAGGACAATCTGGAACACATAACACCCTCAAAGGAAGCCTGTACTTTTGCCTCAATTACAATGATAAATATCAGCAACAAGAAAAATGCATCGCCAGTGAGCGCTGCCACATAAAGGCAGCAGACAGGGAAGCGTGGTCAGCTTTTGGAGATCCAACAGTGACTCAAACCCCAGGGGCCAGATTGCTTTTCACAGACATCTTGAATTTATCAGCTCTTTCTGCCAAGGTTTAGAGACACACCATTGGAAGTCACACTTATAGAACTTTTACTGGTACCATAACAAAGCATTTAGGTAATTCCCTGTGTGACTTGTGAGTTAAGTGGTTTTTTTTTTTTTTGGGGGGGGGGGCATTAATCAACAATTTAAAAGACCACTGTATATGAGTTAAATATGACTTAAAAACCTAGCAAATGAGGGCCAGTGAGATGGCTCACTGGGTGAAGGCAATTTCTGCCAAGCCTAATGAGCCAAGTTTGATCCCTGGGTACCCACAGGAGGAGAGAACCAAATCTCATAGGTTGTCCTTTGACTGCCACAAGTACAGCACAGCATATATGCTCCATACATATATCCACATCCAAAATAAGCACAAAATAAGTAAGTATGTAAATAATAAATGTAAAACTAGCAAATGGATGTCTCCAAAAGTACTAGGAAATGAGAGGCAGAAACATTGTTCTAAGTGGATTTCAGTCATATTTCCAAGATGACCATGAACACATAGCAAGGTCGCTTCAAAAAAACAAAACAAAGAGCAGGGGCTGGAAAGAACGTCTCCGTGGTTAAGAGTGCATTGTTCTTGCAGTCTCACAATGCCTTTCAACCAGCTCCAAAGAACCCTCCACTATGTCTAACCCTCTTAGGCATAGTAGACATACATGCAAATAAGAGAAAATTTTAATTGGAGCTTGTGGGCTGGCTAATTCTACGTCAACTTGACAGAAGCTAGAATCATCTAAAAAGGAGGGAACCTCAATTGAGAAAATGTCTCCATACGACTCAGTAATAAGGCATTTTCTTAGTGGGTTATGGGGGAGGGCCCAGCCTAATGTTAGTGGGGCCACTGTTGGGCTGGTGGTTCTGGGTTCTATTAGAAGGCTGAGGAAGGCCCAGAGACCACACCAATAAGTAGCACCCCTTCATGGCCACTGCATGAGCTCCTGCTGCCAGGCCCAAGCCCTAGAGTTCCTGTCCTGACTTCCTCAAGTGACGTATTACAATGTGTAAGCCAAACTGTTTTTGGTCATTACATTTCATCACAGCAATAGTGACTCACACTAGGACACTGTGAGAAGACTCAAGCATGTAAACAAACTTTCACCATGCCCGATGACCTATCTGCCTTATATTCCTAATATTTGCCTGACTGAAGAACAGAACAAATTTCCCCAGATATCTAGTGTCCTCTGACCTCTATTGCACAGAACTACACGCACACAAAATTAACAAGCAAATGTTAACAAAAATGGAAAAGCACTTTTGTACAAGCTTGAGGGTGTGTGGGGCAGTCAGTTAAGAGCACTTGTTGTTCTTGTAGAGGATAAGGTCAATTCCCAGTACCCACAGTGGCTCATATCTGCCTAAAACTCTAGCTCCAGAGAATCCAATATCCTCTAAATTCAGAGGATTCCTGCATGTACTCGATGTACACACACATATATTCAGAACTTTATATATATATAATAGATATAAGTAAAAAAATGTGCTCACTTCAGCAGCACATATACTAGAATTGGAACAATATGGAGATTAGCATGGCCCCTGTATAAGGATGACCCACAAATTTTGTGAAGCATCCCATAAAAAATAAACAAAAAGTTATCAATACGGAACTAGAGAAACGGCTCAGCAGTTAATATCCCAGCACACATGTTCGACAGCTCCCAACCGCATCTTCTGGACTCTACAGGCCTATGTACTCACATGTAATGCACCCCCCAACCATAATTTAAAACTAGGTGTAGCAGTGTGTACTTGTAATCCTAGTGCTGAGGAAACAGAGATGGGTGGATGCTGATCCGCTGGCCACACCTTACTGGCAGGCTCCCAGACAATTAGAGACTGTCTCAAACACCAAGGTAGGCTAGTGAGATGGCTCAGTAGGCAGACAATTATTCATTCAGTCCCAGCTTTCAGGAGGCAGAGGCAGACAACTTGGAGAGCTGGTCTGCACTGTAAGCTCCAGACCAGCCAGAGCAAGGTAGTGACTAACCGAGTCAAAAACAAAACAAACATAAATCAAACCCAACCAAAACCAAGAAGCCCAACTGGAACCCATGTAAAAGTGTCTTCTAGTCTCTATGTGTGCAAAAGCGTAATCGCACGCACACACAACAATTTCAGGGTCTAAAAAGAAGGCTCAGAGATTAAGAGTTACTAATTTATTATCTGGGGTCTTGCAGAAGACGACTCAGGATCAATTCCTAGCACACACGATTATTCACTGCCATCTGTAACTTCAGTTACAGTGAGTTGTAGACATGGTTTTCTCTTCTCTGCAGGCACGAAGCACCCAAGGTTCCTGACTTCTAGTCTCCATATGCATGAGTAAACACACACGCATGGTGACATGCATGTATACAAACCAAATAGAAAATAAAACAACAAAACCAAAGTGGGTGGGAGCTTCTGACTCATCCTAAGTGAGTTCCCCCAATACTGTTTCTCCCCAGGTTTCACAGCAGATCCTGGCAACAGACTCACATACCTATTAAGGGGTCAAAGAATACACACCAGCCTGTAATGTGAGAGAACAATTATCCTGGAACAACCTTGATTGCTCCGAGAGATTAACCAGATCTCCTGATGCTGTACATATGCACACAGCTCAAGTATTTTTGCCCTTAGATGCCCTTCTTAAACAATTCACATGAATAGCCTGGTATGGTGGCACACACCTTTAATCTCAGCATTTGGAAGGCAGAAGCAGGCGGCTCTCTGTGATTTTGAGGACAGCCTGGTCTACAGAGGAAGTTCCTAGACAACTAGGGCCACACAGAAAAACCCTATAATAAAAAATAAATAAAACCACATAAACAAAAACATTAATGGGAGCATGTTAACCGACGGCATTAACCTCAAAAAACAAAAACCAAAAAAAAAGCCGCCCCTACTGGCTTATAATGCCATGAGCAGGCAGACTAGTAAAAGCTCAGACCCAGGAAATAGCTATATGCAATAGACGAGAGAGGAATCCACAGAGGCCTTGAGAGTATAGCAGACATGAACAGACACTTATCTCCCTCACCTGAATCTTCAGTTCTTTTAGTGTCTGGTTAGCAGACACCAGCAGAGCCTTCTCTCCTCGCACCTTCCTGTGCCGCGTGCTCCGCCGGATGACCTGCTTCTGGTAGGCCACATACCCCTGTTGGGATGTCTTTTGCCGCTTGGTACCTCCATTGCTCTGCAATGAGATACCAAAGAGAAAGCTCTGAAATTACCCTGTTCAAGGGTTCTTCAGGCAGATAGAAGCTGCATACAACTGCTCTTGAAACCGTCTGAATCCACAATGAGCCCAAGATTCTAGAGATTAGCAGGCTCACACATAATGGGGGAGGAAAGGAGAGTAAAAATGAACTTATAACTGCATGTAAGTAACCTAAATGTTTGGTAGAAGAAACATACAGAAGAAAAGCAAGTTTCACCTTCAACTGGTAACAACGAATTATCAGTTGTAGTGGCTTTCTAATCCTAGCACTTGAGAGGTGAGGCAGGGATTCTGATTTCAAGGCCAGTCCTAGTGCTATACAAGACCCAGGGCTGGTGAAATAGCTCTTGCTGCCGGGCATGACAAACTTATTTTGTTCCCCAGAACCCACACAGTGCAAGGTGAGAACCAACTCCTGTGAACTGTCTTCTGACCTTCTTGTATACACACACAGAACACACACACAATACAACAAATACATTAAACAGTTAATTTTAAAAAAGCCAATGAATTTAAGGTTACAGCACTTCATAAATAAAATTTTTAAAAGATAATTATTTATTATACAATTTATTATCTATTAATTATATAGAGTATTCTGTCTACATGCTAAGATGGTTATGAGCCACCATGTGGTTGCTGGGAATTGAACTCAGGACCTCTGGAAGAGCAGCCAGCAGACACACTCTTAACCTCTGAGCCATCTCTCCAGCCTCATAAATAAATTAAAATTTGCTTGTATTACACATTTCTTCTTGGAGGTAGGGAGAGTTCATGTATCATAGGATGGTCTCCAACTCCCTATGTCTCATTGGATGACCTTGACTTTGGGCTTCTAATCCTTCATCTCCACCTCCACAGTGCTAAAACAAAAGCAGTGTGCAATACTGTTAGGTTTATAATGCTGGGGATGGAAACCAGGGCTTCTGCATGCAAGGCAAGCACTCTAGCACTGACTGAGCCCCACCTCTGGACCTTCTCCTTTTGAGAACGATATGGAAGCTAAATGACAACCGTAAAATGAAAGGTTAGACTTGACTTAAGAAATCAAACACAGGCTGGGCAGTGGTGATGTATGTCTTCTATCCCAGCACTCAGGAAGGAGAGGTAGGCGGATCTCTGTGAGTTTGAGGCCAGCCTGGTCTACAGAGCATGTTCTAAGGACAGGCAGGGCTATACAGAGAAACCCTTCTCAAAAAACAAACAAAACAACAACAACAAAAAAGAAAGAAAAGAAAAGAAATCAAACACTGTGCTTCTTGTCTTATGATAGTGGTTAGGAGGTAAACATTTTCAACTATAAAATATTCTTGTAAAAACTGTTAAAAAATAATCATAAATGAGTGCTCAGGCCCAACTTGCAACTTCTAGAAACGTTAATACACAGTATAGGCAACAAAGAAAAGAAACAATGAGGAGGTGGTCTCCAAGCACCTGGTCTAGATGGAAACCACCCAGAATTATGCAGACCATAGCATTTTTATCAGTTTGGGTTTGAGAGGGAGTTTGTGGACACAATCATGCCTGCCAGCAGCTTCTCTCAGGCACACTGTAAGCATTGCCTGGGCTGTGTTAGCCTCCAGGATACACAGGATCAAATATTTAGAACATAATGATCACTGAACTAACTTAAGCATTCAACAAAGACAAAGCAGGAACTATATATGGGTATATGAGACAGGCTGTACTAGTCTTTAGAAAGAGAAAAAAGGGGCCAAGTGTTCCAAAACATCTTCTGGTCTCAAAAGTGTCTTATTACGTAGGTCTGCCTTGAACTCTCTATGTACTGCAGGCAGTGGGTGATCCTGCCTTCCCAGTGCTGAGATTACCGTGTGCGTGCCTCTCTACTTACAAATCCCTCGCCGAGAGGCTAACAAGTCAAGACTCCAGTGAACCAGACTGGGGAATCAAAGTGGGATATTCCCTCTAGATTAATTATATATAGATAAAATAACTGCAGCTCTCCTCCAGTTTCCAAGATGTCAGAGTGTACAAGGAGTACGGATCCACTGTGGACACCTGGATCCCATTCACATTATTAATGTGTTCTGCAATTCATAAAGCCTGGCAGGGCACAGACTCAGGAACAGCCTTGTCTCAGGGCTCTGGCCACTAGCAAGGATCTACCCAATCTAGCCACAGCTTCCATGCTCACACACTTGAGTGTAAGATTCTTGAGAAAAAGTCAGCTAACAATACACAAGTTGAGTGTCTTATTCAACTGTAAAGGAGGAAGTTAACTATAGAGAGAAGGCAGGCTCATGGCCCACCCAGGCATCTACGATTCAAACTGATTTTAAAAGATCTAAAAGCATTAAAAAAAAAAAAAAAAAAAAAAAAAAAAAATTCTAAAAGCTGGGCTGGAAAGATGGCTCAGAGCTTAACAACACTGGCTGTTCTTTAAAAGGTCCTGAGTTCAATTCCTAGCAACCACATGGTGGCTCATAGTCACCTATTTGTGAGATCTGGTACCTTTTTCCAGTGCACAGTCATATGAATGCAGGCAGAATGCTGTATAAATAATAAATAAATAAATCTTAAAAGAAAAAAATCTAAAAGCCTTTTCTGGAATTATTTTTCTTTAACCCATCTCAACCCACTAAAACCAGTACATTGGCTTTTGTTTGTTTGTTTGTTTTCCTAGCTGCTGGTTTTTAAAGGCTTTCAATTACCTAAGAGATAGCCACCGAGTAAATCATTAACCTGAATTTTAGATAACATGGGAGGAACTGGGTTGATCTGGCTTAGAGAGAAGGGAAGAGGATTTGCTCAACTCCATTAAGGAGCACTAATGCCTCGCTTTATGGCATGCATTTACCAAAGTGCATCAAGCTACCCATATTCTGAGACAAAAAAAGGGGGGAGAGGAGGACACTAGGTATCTCTGGGGACTAACTAGTTACTATACTCTAAACGGAGGGTTAGAATTAAGAGCCCCGCCCTGCCCTTAACCAAAAGTATTTAAAACATCCTAGAATATTACAATATCCAAACATGGACAAGGGAGACAGAGGAAAATTATAACATGTACAAAATAATTATGGCGTAAAAAGCAATGTTCTCCAACATTCTGCATCGTATTTGTATACGTGAAATCTGTTGTCATCCACAACTGAGGACAGGAATCCCACACCCACCTGAAAACACTGCTGTGGTCATGACCACAGTGAATAAAACTGGATATTTAGAGAAAGAGTCAGCCTTTCAAAGTTTGAATCACATCAAAATGTAGAATTTGCTAAACAACTCTTGGGCAGAAAAGCAGTGCTGGAAAGAGGCTGATGACAAACATATCTGCAGACTCCTAGAGAGGCCACACTATAGGCAGGCAGAGTCAACACCAGCAAGCCCAGCACTCTGGAAGTCAAACAAGATTATGGGATCAAGGCTAACCTGGGTTATAAGGCACATGCAGGGCTAGCATGCCTGTGTCTCAAAAAGGAAAAAGGAAGACAACAGGGAAAACTTGACTCCATGATGTCAAGCGACAGACAGCAGGGCCAAACAGATCTGAACAGGCCAACAACAGGGCGCCTTGGTTAGAAAGCCCTGCATCACCACAGAACACTGAATCTGCCCGCCCACTGTCAAGGGACAGGGCATAAAACCAGTTTTGTTCCTTCATGGGTTTTGTTGTTATTTAAAAAAAAAAAAAAAAAAAATTTTTTTTGGGGGTGGGGGTAGGATTTCAACAAGTCATGGATAACAAACACCGATATATCTTTCCATACTAGCTGGGCAACTACAACCAACATATACCTTGAGGAAATTAAGGCTTAGGACTTGTTTTTTTTTTTCCCCCCCCGTTTTTTTCCCAAGACGGCCTCGTGTAACAATGCTGTCTTCAAACTCACTTTGTAGACCAGGCTGACCTCGAACTCAGAGATCCACTTGCCTCTGCTTCTTGAATGCTCAGATTAAAGGTGCAGGCCACCACAGCTGGCTGCCAGCTACTGATACAAACACACACACACACACACACACACACACACACACCCACCAAAAAAACCCAAAACAGTAGCAATATCACTGTGTATTTACTGACAGACCAACATGTTCAGAAACTGTGCTCTGCATTGGACGAGGCAGGCGGACACTCAGGAAGAAGCTAACCATAATTTGACTACCAAATCTTGGGGTAAAGATATTCCAGCTATTAAGACACAGGAGCAGGAGGAGATGGAGGGGGCAGAGGCAGACAGAGGCATCTCAGTGAATTTGGGCCCAGTCCAGCCAGGGCTACACGGTGAAACCTGTTTCAAAAAGCGAAAAGGAAGGGTGGTGGAAGGAAAAGGGTTGGAGATGGTGTGGCAGCTGAAGAAACAACTCCAGCGCTAAGAGCACTTACTGCTCTTCCAGAGGAACCAAATCTTGTTCCCAGCATAATACCAAGAGGCTCACAACCACCCATAAATCCCAGTTCCACGGATTCAATGCTATCTTCTGGACTCTACGTGCATGCACACACATGCAATCAAAGACACATACATCTTTTTTTTAAGCCTTGAAATAAATGTATAAAGTGATCTATGAATATGCAGGGAACACAGTGGACTATTTGTTTTCCAAGAAGCTATAGCCATCCACATATCCATCTATTAAGTGTATTCCTATACTTCCTAGGATAAGTTTTTCTATAGAAGTAGAGGAAACAGAAACTATTCCTTAGTTTTTGTTGAGATAGTCTTGGTACTTATAGCCAGGGCTGGCCCCAAACTCATACTCAGGATCTTCTTGCCTCAGCCTCCAGAGGACTTAGATTATAGACATACACTACCATATCTTATCTTTTTGAAAGATTTTTGTGTGTGTGCGCGCGCACGCATGTCAAGTGCCCTTGGAGGTCAGAGATCAGCTGGATACACTAGGTTTCAAACTCAGACCCTCTGCAAGATGCAGTGCTCTTAACCACTGAACCATCTTCTCCAGCCCCATAAACAGTCCATCTTAGAAATTTGATTATGGTGGAGAATGAAAGACTAATAACACATCAGTTCATCTTACTCTAGTTATTACAACTTGCAATTTGCAGGCTGGGTGGTGGTATATATCATTAATCCCAGTGCTTGGGAGACTGAGGCAGATGACTCTCTAAGTTCGAGACCAGCCTGGTCTACAGAGTGAGTTACAGATCAGACAGGGCAATACAGAAAAAGTGTATTGAAAAGCCAAAAAGAAAAGACTTCTAGTTTTTTCACAATGGGGGAAATCAGGGCTAATATTTTCACAACTTAGAATACCATGATTAAGCAACATACCAAGATATGTATGTCTTGTTTTAGTACTCTTTTCTAGCTTAAAAGGATAGATCTTGCCTTCAAAAACTCTATTATTTTTATATTTAAATAGATATATTTAAATTTTATATCTGAATATTTAAAATAGCTGGTGAGCTAGATCCATGGTTAAGGATGAGTAATGCTTGCAGCGGTCCAATCTCAGTTCCCCGGGACCTGGACGGCTCCCAAAAGGGGCATCCACAGCTTCTATAGCTTCTGAGGGCCATAAACTCATGTGTACATACCCATACTCAAACATACAAGTAACTATCACAAACCATCATCTTAATCATATTTAATTTACTTTGTGCAGGCATGCATGTTTGTAGGTCAGAAGACAACTCGCAGGAGTTAGTGCTCTCCTCTACAAGGAGTCCCAGAAAATGAACTTAGGTCATCAGGTCTGGCTGGCACCTTCACCCACTGGGCTATTAGCACCTGGGCAGATCTCTGGGAGCTGGAGTTACAGGCAATTTTAAGCTGCCTGATGTGAGAGCTGGGAACCAAACCTAGGTCTTCTGTAAGAGTAGTAGCATTTTACCAAGTAGTCTAGGATGGTGTCAAACTTTTAATTCTCCTGCCTCCAGTTCGGGAGAGAAGGACTGTGTTTGTACCACCATACTTTTCATATCAGGATTCCTTTCTTTTCTTATTTTCTCTGGACAGCCCCACTCTGGCCCAAGGTTTCCCCAAACTCATGGGTAGGCAATCCTGCGTCAGCTTCCTCACTGGTCTTAGACATAAGCACTTTTCATTTGTCTGTTTGTAGTCAGGGTCTCAGTATGCAGACCAGGCCATCCTGGAGCTCTCTAAGTAGACTAGACTCGCCTCAGACTCATAGACTGACAGCCACTTGCCACTTCTCCTGAAGAGCTTTAAAGTTTGTGTTGTGCCACCAGTGCCACCACACGCAATCTTCTTTCATAGAAGAAATTAACTTTAGAGGATATGTAGTTTATTTTTATTTTTTTTAAGAGGGAGGATAAAAAGCAGCTGCAGCATGCTAAAAACCTAAAAACAAAAACAAAACAAAAAAAACCTCACAAAACAGAACAAGTAGAGATAGGACCCAGAACAATATCTCAACCAGGGATGAAAGACGCCAGGTGCCTGATGTAGAAGAAGGCATGAGAAAGGAAAGAGCTTCAATACATACTTGATTAAAGTCGGGATCTTTCTCTCCATCTGGCTTAGCTTCTTCCTTGTCCTCTTCTGTCTCAGAACTACTCACATTCAACTCTGGAGCTGAGTCTTTCATCACCTGAAAGCACAAGGAGCACGAGAAAGGTTAAGTCAGTCCCTAGGAGAGCATGCGGTAGAGGGCAAGGGGCTTGGAACCTATGAGATATGAGTGGATCAGGAATCAGGACCACTTCTTTGCAGTCTATCTAACCAAGTGGCTTATTTATTTACTTTTTTTTTTTTTTGGGAGGGAGGGGTTACAATTTGACTATTGTAGCTCTCACTGTCCTGGAACTCCATGTAGACCAAACTGTCCTTGAACTCATAGGGATTCACCTACCTCTGCTGGGATTAAAGGGATGCAACCACTACGCCCAGCTTAGTTCTATTTTATTTTTAATTCTGTATCTAAGTGTGGATATGCATGCACACATGAGCTCAGATGCCAGAAACATTAAACCCCCTGGAGCTGTAGTTACAAGTTATAACTCCTCTGATACAGAGCTGAGAAACAGACAGAGGATATGTTCTTCTGCGTAACACTGTGGAAAATGCTATTAAACTCAGAGTAATCAGCTATGGCTGCCTCTACTAGTTGAGCCAGTTAAATGTCAAAAGGGGGAAGGTCAAAAGGTCAAATACTGGGGACATGTTTATGTTCCTTTCCTTAGCAAATTTAGAAATAAAGGCCTTTATTTTAATCTACGTAGAATTCTACACCCGTAATGCATATAATTGGAAGGCAGCATTCTAAAACAATGTATTTAGTAACTAGCATCAAAAAATAAAAACTGCCTTTAATTCTCCAAACCCTGGAATCTAACCAAAAGACATTCAGAGAACAAAGTTAACTCCCAAAGCCAAATATATAACAATAGAAAGGTCACTCTGAATTCCCACCTTCTCATTTCACGCAACCTTCAGATCAATCCTGAGGTCCAGCCTGGCTTTCTCCATCCTATGTTCCCACCAAGTCTACATGCAATAGGCAGGGCAATTTTATAAACCAGAAGCCACACAACCCTAGAAATTCTCCTGTTCTTTTTCCACTGCCCAAGCTCAACTCTTATTGGTCAGATTTGATAGCCTACCTCTTCTAGCCATGGCCACAAGAAGAATTGGTACCTTTTTGTTGTCCACAACTTTGTGGACATAGATGGTGGCTTGGGTATATTCTCGTAGGTCCCTCTGCTGCTGGCACAGCAGGCCTTCTCTACAGTCTGGACAGAGATCTAGAAAACAGTAGAGCAGAAGCAACTAAAGAATCACTGCAAAGACCTGTATCACCTCCACAGTGTACTCAGTGACTGATGTGTGAGGCTGCATGCAAATGATGAGGAAATCTGTACACTATCTGTAACCAAACGTTCAGATGATGGCGGCTCACAGGCCTGCCAGAAGCATCTTTAACATTAAGCAGAAAAGCAGTACTGAAGGACTCTTTCCTTCCCCGTTATCAGTTGACTTTTAATGAAAGAAACCAAAAGCAGTATGAAAACTTACTAGGCTCAGAAATATACTGTGTTTCAGAAGGGTTTACGTCTCCCACTTCAATTCTTGTGATCTTAATTACTTTATCCACAACAAAGAGTTTTTGAATCATTTGCCATTCGCTGGGCCATATGAGAGCTATACTGTGCAAAAAAAACAAAAAACAAAAAACAACAAACAACATGCCTTAAGACACGTGGAGATCGACAGAGTAAACATCCTACAACAAAATCAACACCAACAATTTATGGGGAACGATTCATCAAATATGAAACCAGAGCAGCAGGATATACACACAATAACGTCGTTTATAGAAAACACATTAGATATACTATACAATTTAAAAGCACAATACATTCAACTGTGTGCACATTAATTCTGACTTAGGTTGTAAGCCAAGGTCTCAACATGTGGTTGAGGTTGGCCCAGACCTTGTGACTGTCCGCCTGCATTTCAGTGAGCACCTTTTAAAACGATGACTTTCTGGGACAGATGACTCAAATTCTCAAGTTGGTAGAGGGAAATGGCAATAAAAAGAAAGAAGCTAAGTATTTTGGGCCCTCCGCTGTACTTGAGTTGACTGATTGCTGGGATTGTAGCTGTGCACCACCATGACTGGAAGATGAGGCAGTGGGTACCATCTCAGATCCTGGAGTATGCTACACAAACTCTCTAGTGACTCAGCTATATCCCCAGATCTTCGACATACTGTTTCTAAATATCTAACAGTTACAATGGCAACACAGTAATGGAAGGACTGGGAAGTCTAAAAGGAAATAAATATATTTACACTGAGTTTGTTTAAATGACCTAAAAACATTAAAATATAACTACATATACTGCATCTTTATCCCAGAGGATTTTCCAATTTCTTATATCTACTTATTAAGTGCTACAGTGGCCAGCCTCCTTATCTTCTCTCTAAAGGTAGAGCGTAGCTGTAGAAAAGACAACTATTAGGTGCGTGCAAAAGCAACTGCAGTTTTGCATTGCTGAAATTGCCACGTTCTGAGAAACATTCTTAATTAATGTGGTAATGTCATACACCATTTGAATGCATGTTTCTCACTTTGTTTCTTGCTAATGACTTATTAGTTGTGATCAATTTTATACTATGGGAATGACGTCATACAAAACCCAAATTCAAGCAATTTTCTTTTTATGAAAAAAGAAAGCAGTAAAGACAACTCGCAATAAACATAGCATTTGCTCCAGAAACTGTTAAGAACGTACAGTTCAGTGGAAGTTCAAAAGGTTTTGCAAAGGAGATGAGAGCCCTGAAGATGAGAAGTATAGTAGCTGGCCATTGGAGGTTGCCAATGACTCCCTGAGAGCCACCACTGAGGCTGGCCCTCTTATGAGTAGTCAAAAGCTGCCAATGAAAACTGGCATTGTTCTGCTTGAAGCAATTTGGAAAGGTAAAAAGGCTGGGCAATTGGGTGCCTCGTAAGGTAGGTGTGTGTGTGTGTGATTTGGAACTACTGTCCTATCTTATTTTATGCAACAAAGAATCATTTCTCAATCTAACTGACGCGCAAAGAAACGTGGGCTGTACATGACAATTTGTAACAGCCAGCACAGTGGCTGGCCTGAGACACTCTAAACCCACGCCTGCACCAAAAAGTCTGGTCCATTTGGTATCTGCTGCTGGTCTGATCCACTGCAGCCTCTGAGTAGCCACAAAACCCCTTACCCCTGAGAAACACTCAGCAAATCGATGAGATGCACCAAAACCTCCAACAGCACAGCCAGGATCAGTCAAGGGCCCAGCTCTCCATGATAATGTCCAATCACGTAAGCTGAGGGACAGGGCTATGAAGCTTCACCTCATTCGACACCTTTGACTGGCTTCTTGCCAAATGACTACCACTCCTTCAAGTATCTTGACTTTTATCGCAGAGAAAACGCTTCGACTAGCAGCAGGATGCAGAAAATGCTTTCCAAGAGTCTGTTAAATCCTGAAGCACAGAGTTTTAAACTACAGGAATAAAGTTATTTCTCATTTGCAAAAGTGTTGTTTGAAATAATTCCTATTGATTAATAAAGATATTTGGGCCTACATAGGCTGAAACTGCAATTCCTTTTGCACGAACCTAATATAACCAAGACTACACTGACCAATTAACTGGTAATAAAGTTACCCTAGAGACAGCCCACTGGCCACCAGCAAAAAAAAAAAAAAAAAAAAAAAAAAAGTCCAGGCAACTGGTTGACAGTGGGAGCAGAAAGGACATGAAGGATAAATTTCCCTGGGTGGCTTATTCTATCTGAGGAAGCAGCCACCCCATCTCTTTTTAAAAACAAGTGTTCACAGTCATAAGTTGTTATCTAAAAAGACTACAGTGAGGTAGTTCAACGCATTCCTAACAGCCTTACATGCTAGACAAAAAAAATCCCCTAATCACACTTGATCGCTGGGGATAGACAACCACACGAAGAGAAGAAACTCACAGTTTTGAGTCTTCTTTGGTGAGGGAAGGAAATGTAAACATGAGTCCTCCATGTGGACACAGAAGGGCCGAGTTCCCAATTGATGACACAGGAGTAGACCTTGCAGGCTTTCTATTCAAACAAGATGGAATAAATACAACTCACTACTGCATGAAGAGATCTTCATTTCTTTCTTTCTATCTATCTATCTATCTATCTATCTATCTATCTATCTATCTATCTATCAATCTATCTATCTCCCAGCCACCTACCTATTTCATTTATTAATTTATTTTGGTGTTTGTTTTTGAGACAGGGTCTCACTGTGTAACTTTGGCTGGCCTGGAACTGTCTACGTAGACAAGATAGGCTGGCCTCAAAATCACACAGATCTGTCTGCCTGTCTCCCAAGTGCTAGGATTCATTTGCACCAAAATAGATTTTAATTTGAAAAACTGTTTACTTGTGTTTGCCTGAGTGTGAACATGTATGTATATGTTTGAGTATATTTATGCATATTCACATATGTAGGCACATGTGTGTACTGGCACACATCACATGCATGTGAGAGCTTAAGGCTGACATCAGGAGTCTTCACCATTTTCAACCCTGGCCAGGGCCCACCTATATGAACTAGTCAACTAGCAAGCTGGTTCTCTCCATTAGCATGGGTTCTGCAGATCCAGAGCCTTAGGCTACATGTGCTTCTACCCACTGAGTCATCTATCTCCACAATCCACATTTTATCTGTGTATCTGTGTTTTTCAAACAGGGTCTCTGTGTGTGTGGCTTGTTCTTGAACTCAGAGATCCACCTGCCTCTGTCTCCTGACTGCTGAGATTGAAAGCATGCACCACTACACTTGGCTTTAAAACATTTTTTAACTACAGACACACACAAATGAACATGTATATATTTTTTAATTTTATTTTATGTGCATTAGTGTGAAGGTGTCAGATCCCTTGGAATTGAGGTTACAGACAGTTGTGAGCTGCCATGTGGGTGCTGGGAATTGAATCCGGGTCCTCTGGAAGAGCAGACAGTGCTCTTAAGCACTGAGCCATCTCTCCAGCCCACAAATGGGTATTATTAATTAAATTAATGTTTTGGGTTTAGTTGTGTAACTTGGTAAAAAAGAAAAGACAGGTGTGTGTCAGGAAAAGTAACCAAGAATATACCAGTAAGAGAATCCATGAGTTGTTTTTTTTTTTTTTAATACCAGTGAGACCATAATAAAGAAATTTCTAATTCCTACCTAACAAATTTCCGCCATTCATCTAAAAAGAAGTGTGACACAATATAGAGAGCCTCTGTACCCTGGAAACAAAAGCACAAACAAAATGTGTTAGTTTCATCTCCCCGCTACCCTCTTTTTAAAATTTCAAGGTGATTTTCTCTTTCAGGTTCAAGTTGGCTTGGAACTCTATGTAGCTCAGGTTGTCCTCAAACTCACAATCACTCACAGTTCTCCTGCAGCGTCCCACAATGCCGGGGTCACAGATGTGAGCTGCCGCATACACTCTGTGAACTACACTATTTTCAACACAAACCCATTGTTAATAAATATAATGGTGGTTTCCCCCATTCAAGTTGTGCAATTAAATGGAAAGAGTGAGCTGGGTATCTCCCAATTAGGAAATGAAGTGAATGAGAATGAGAAGAGGTCTGGGCTGATCTGAAATAACCTCGGCTGAGGCCTCTCTGAGGCGATCACAATACCTCTGGCCAGTTACTGAGACATGGTCTGTTTTTGTCCTGGAACAAATTTGGAAGTGAGGTCTTCTGCTCATTTGCAATCATTTTATGCAAGGCTTCATTTTCTTCACCTTCCCGTTCCAATATCTGAAAGAGACGGAAGCAGTCAGCTATCTTGCTAACAGCACGTGTTGCCCCCAAACCCACCCCCCAGGAGGACATCAGGAGCTGTGCACCTTGCATTGTGAGCAGCCCTCTTTGTAACTTGGGAACTCAGGGGCCTTCGGGAAGTACTGCCGCAGTTTGCTCCAAGCCTCTGGAGAAACGAGCCTTCTTTCATTTTCAGATATGCTTAACCCCCCTACATTAAAAGAGAGAGAGAGGAAAAAAAAAAACTACTTAAAAACAAGGATGAAAGAAGTCAACATCTATTTCTTAAAATTTTTAATATATATTTATTCATGTGTATATGTGTGTGTGTGTATGTATGTGCCAAGGCATCTGTGTGTGTGCAGGCCAGATTACATGCAGGAGGTCAGTTCTTTCCTTCCACCAGTGTGGATCCCAGGAGGGCGGGTTCAATTAAGCACTTTTACCCAGAGCCCCATCACTGGTCCCAGTCCCTCTCCTGACAGAGAGTCTATAGGTAGTTTTCTCTTTTCCTTTTGTTCAGTAATCTCTTTGGTTCATTTGTTGGCACTGGCTCCACCTGCAGTACCAGAGTGAGCACACACAGGATGCCATACATGCTAAACAATTCATTTCATTATACTTTGAGCTTCCACCCACCCTAGGATCTGAGCCCCTGCAGGGGTTAAGAGCATTTTGACTCCAGCCCCCCCCCCCATTCCTAATTTCCCCAAAACATTTTGCTTGACTCCTAAAAGCATTTGGCAATGAAGCAATACGTTCAAGGCTGTGTGTACCTCAATAAAACAATGACCTGACTAATCTAAGCCCTCAAGCTCCGAATCTGTTCCCTTTTTGCAACTGGTTTTGGTTCTTCCTTTCTTTTTTTTTTCCTTCCTATTTTTTAAATTTTATTTTATGTGTGTAGATGCCTGTATGTCCATCTGTCTATGCAACACACAGGTGTCTGATGGTAATGGGGGTCAGAAGACACCAGGTCCTCTGGAAGAGCAACCAGTCTCTTAACCACTGAGCTACCTCTTCAGCTCATCTTGGCTTTATTGGAGCAGGTTGTATGTACAGTAAGTAACTCAGGATGGCCCTTTAACCTCCTGTGCTGGGTGGGCCAGTATGGGCCACCACACCCAGCCTGAAATAGAAAAAAATACTGGTCAAAGCACTCTACCATGTTTCCAATGCCCGGAGAGCTATGGTCAGAACCAGAGTGATCTCAGATTACTGCTAAATCACCTGAAGCCTGCTTGTCAGGGACATCCCCTGACTGGTTATTTTCTATTTTTCAGACATTCCAAGGTCAACCCTGAGTGGACCAGGCTGGCTGATTCACATCTCCCACATGTAAGTTGTTCCCATGCCAGTAGCCAGGTACCCAGAGATGTGCTAACAAGCAACAAGGCCACCTTTCACACTGTAAAAAGGGGAATATACAGGGCCAGCACAGCACTCAAGGGACAGCGATGTCTCTCTCTGCCATCCCAAATACATTCTAATAGCACAAAATGTCATCTTCTTGAGTTAATTCTACTTCCCAGCTCTTCTGCTCCTTTGAAGAACCTCAAAGAAAGATTATCTTAAGCCAGTGTGGTGGAGAGTCTGTAAGAGTATACTACGCTATGGCAGCTGGAGCCTGAGAGGGGCAAATACTCAAGGTCGGGACTGTCAGGAGCAAAGAGGCAATTGCAAACAAGCCCTCCAGTCCACCCTCCTTCGACTTAGCCTTCAACCCTGTGCCTGCCTCAGAGCCTGAAGCAGCCTCTCCTGTACCTGAAACAAGACAATGACTCTTGTTCAGAGACAGACTCAGGGACAAAGAGAAAAATGTTGCTATAAAAAGATAATTCAATGGGCTAGAGACAGATCAGTGGATAAGCACCCTGAGTGCTCTTCCAGAGGACCAAGGTCTGGCTCCTACCCACAAGGCAACTCGCAGCCACCTGTAACCAATTCAGAGGATACAGTGTCGTCTTCTAGCCTCCCAGACACTGATGCTCCCATGTAGTGAACACACAGGCAGGCAGAATACCCAGTAACACGTCAAACAGACAAAGCCGCCACTTCATAGAAACAAAAAAGGATGATTCTACCCAAGCACTTAACTTGTAATCCAGCAGAGTTAGGGTTACTGTTAGCTCAACAGCACAGACCATGGCCTTCGGGAGCCCCTCTCCTGCTGGGCTCCAGCCACCAAAATGGATACTTTACAACTATATTTATTTTCAGTAGTCAAGCAACATCATTTTTTTCTTCTTTTATTTTTTGATACAAGGTCTCATTAAGTAGCCTTGACTGACCTGAAACTCTCTGTATGAAGACTACAAGGAGGAACTGGCACCTACAAAAAATTTTAAAGCTTAAAAGGAGCTAGGAAAATAGCTCAATTGATCAAGTGTTTGCCTTATTAATCTGAGGACCAAAGCTTGATTCCCAGAGCCGATGTAAAACAAAGACTGGGTGTGATGTCACACACTTGTAATCTCAGCACAGTGGAGGCAAAGGCAGGGGCAGATAGATGTGCCTAAGCTAGCTGGCAAGACAGCCTAGCATACCAGTAGACTCTTTTTAAGGCTGACTTTTATGTGCATGGGTGCTTTGCCTGCATGTATATACATATACCACATGTGTGTTTAACGCCCTGGAAGCCAGAAGAGGCCATTGGGTCCTCTAGACTGAACTGGAATTACAGATGATCATAAGCGACCATGTTGGTGCTGGGACCAAATCTGGGTCTTTCTGCAAAAGCAAGTGCTCTTAATTGCAGAGCCATCTGTCCAGCCCCCAAGACCCTCTTAAAAAGGGGGTGGGGTGGGGTGGGGAGGTGGAAGGTGCCTGTGGTTTGTTCTCTGGTTCCCATTTCATGTGAACCCATTTACAGCCACACACACATGCGCGCATACAGGCGATTTATGGCCAAAGTCAAGAAGTAACAAGATGGCTCAGCAGAGAAGACACCTGCCATGCATGCCTGCCAACCTGACTTCCACCCTGGGAATCATGGGAGGGCTGAAGAAGGGACTCTACAAAGATGCCTTCTGATCTCATACTTGCACAGAAGCATGTCCCTGTACCAGAAGAAGTAACTGTGAACTGAAGAAATAGCTAACGAACACACCGTTCTTAGAGGACTGGAGTTTGATTCCCAGCATGCCTGTCAGCTTAACCATCTCTGACTCCAGCTCCAGGAGCTCCAATGCCTCTGGCCTCTGTAGACACCTGCACTCATACATACATACCAACACAAAGACGTGTGTTTAAAAAAAAAAAAAAAGGCAACCAACCGTATTTACTATGCTACAGAACTGCCTCCACAGACCTGGTAATGGGTATACAGAGGTTAACATGGGATTCAAAAACATCTAACCTGGTGTAGCACTCAGAATCTTAGCACTAAGAAGGTTAGGGCAGGGGGATTAATTTAAGTTTGAAACTAGCCAGAATTAATTAGTTTTCTCAAAAAAAAAAAAAAAAAAAAAAAGGAATATATAGTACTGCCTTGGCTGGCTTAGAAATTGCTATGGAAACCAGGATGGTCTGCATTTAATAAAGATCACCTGCCTCTCTGAGTGCGGTGCTGGGATTAAAGGTGTGCTCCATGACACTCAGAAAAAGAAAGACGGCATCCTCACCCCTTGCAAGCCCTTCAGAAGTGTCACACCGCTGAAATCCAGCTCTGTAAACACTGATACAGATGGTCCCCAAGTCCAGTGTAAGCTTAGACTACAAAGACTAAGCCTTTTTCATAAATAAATGAGCAGAAAACTACACACCACCATTAATCTAAGTAAGAGATGGTTAATTCTTAGCCTCTGCCTTGTAGACAATGGCCCCTCTAACCACACATAGAAAACCAAAGCCACAAGGTTGACAAGATTTAAGTCCTCTGCCCTGAGTGTGGGGATACAAAATAGAGCAGAGATGGGTAGGTTACGTTCTACACCGAACTCAGGTTTGCTGAGCCCTTGTCCTCCATTCATGTTTTCACAACAGTGAAAACAGGTCTGATCCAGCAAGCATACTTAACTTCTACTTTGACTTCTGAACACAGATGGGGAAAAAAAAAAAAAAAGCTTCCTAACCAAAAACGGAAAAAAAAAAAAAAAAAAGCATTTGGATCACGGAGTGCCATTCTGAAAGCTAGCATAAGCTCTCAAATATTTAGTAAAGAATCCTCAGGAACATGTTCTGACACATACCTGAAATTCCAGCACTTGGGGAGGTACAAACACAAGACTTCTGAGTTGATCCCCAACCTGGACTACCTATCTTAAGAGCTAAGACAAACCTTTATGGTTACAACCTCAGGGAAAGCAGAGAAGAAAACATGACAAGCTGACACCAAACTGACAGGAGACTTCAGCTTCCAGCTTACCATGAGGACACAGAATGTCTTCATTAAAATTTAATTCCTCCTCCTCTTCTTTTTTTTCTTCCTTTGATTCATCTAATTAAAAGAAACAGACAATCAGATCTCTTGCTGTTGTAGTTCAAAGTTCAAAGCAGCACAACTTTAAGGAAAGAAAACTTGAAATAATTCTGAAAATGAGAGCCAACTGAGTCTTGGACAGCTGAGTACAGAAGGGATGTATTTCCTTTCCCTTAAAAGAAAGGGGGAAAGCTTGATGGCAGCTAATGATTTTGAAGAGTTACGCAATAAGCCTGCTGTGGTGGTGGCCTACACTGTGACCCTAGCACTGGGGACAATGAAGGAAAAGTATCAGGAGTTTAACAGGACAGTCTGGCCTCTGTGAAACACTGTATTTCAAACAAACAAACAAACAAATAAAAGGTGATGGTGGCAGCTAATAGCTTTAATCAGCATGGGGGTGGGGGTAGGGGTGGCACAGAGGGAGGTAGATCTGAGCTATGTTGAGAACAGCCTGGTCTAGACTAAGTTCTAGGACAGCCAGGACACAGAGAAACCTTGCCTCAAACAAAACAAAACAATAAAGTTTATCCAATAAAATGGCTTTTCTCAATCTGAAAACTTACATGTCCTATTAGCTCTAGTCAAGTATTACCATGTGTCGTTTGTCATTTTCATCACCGTTCTCTTACAGGGGTTGAACCTTACATGACACATGAAATACCTGTGATATAACATAGACTTCCTCCCCGTTCTTGCTTGTCTGTACGAGCCCTATATGTAGTTCTAGACATTGAAAACTGATCAAAAAAGAAATCTTGAACATTGAAAACTAGTTATTCAAGGGCTTTCCAGGTTAAGGAAGGAAACAGTTTTAACACAATCTAGACAGTGACTGCCGAGTGTGGAGGCATACACCTATGATCCCAGGACGTGGGAGGTAGAGGCAGGAAGACTCTAAGTTCAATGTCAGCGTGGGCTTTGTGGCTCCCCATCCCAAAGTGGGGGCAAGTAGAAAGCCATGTTAAGTACGACAGTTATGTAAGCTGTACTGTGGCGCACACTTGTAACTGCAGCAGCAGAGTAAGGCAAGAAGATGACAAGTTCTAGGCCAGCCTGTGCTAGACAACTGAGAGCCAACACCCTGCCTCAAAGAGGCAGGGGCTGGGACTAACACATAATAAAGCTTGGTGTGGTGGGACAAACCTGCAATCCCCGTACTAGGGAGGTGGAAGATGGAAGATCAGAAAGTAAAAGTCATCCTCAGCTACATAGTTTTGAGAGCAACTTGGGCTACATGAGACCTTAATCTGTTTGTTTTAAAGTGTAATGCTTAAGTGTAGAAAATACACTTGAAAACGGAAAAAACTAAATAAAAATAACTGAAAAAATAAGATAAACATACAAGTATGTGAAGGTCAGTATTTGAAAGCAAAGGCAATGGAACTGTGGGTTAATGCAAAGGTGGTGGTGTGCGTTCCCAGATCGTGTGAGGGCCCCGGTTCCAGGCCCCGGCCTATAAAATAACAAAATAAGGAGAAGGGGATGTAAGGGAGGCAATCCAGGTTTAAGTAAAGGCTCACAAGACACAGCACTACTGAGCACAACTAACCTCAAAACTAGTAATGGGTAGAATCTCAAGTCTCCATATGAGACCTAAAAGTCATTCTAAACGCCTTAATTTCCTTTGGTATCTGTCTACTGGCAGGTTTAAAATAACACGATTTCCTGTCTGAAAGCAGGGCTCAAAACAGAATAGACAGTAAGAAGCTGTCCAAATCTTGCCCTCCTTGAGGTAGGGTGCAGAGATCCCACAGAAAATGGCTACTCTCCTAAAGCCAAATTGTGAAACTTACCAGTCTGCAGAGCCTTTCTCCCTGGAGGCTGTGCAGAACTGACACAAACCCTGAACGTGACTAACGAGATAGCACTTGAGCCCAGAGCTCACCACTGTAAATAAAGAGGGTGCCTCAGGGCTCTGCTGAGTCTGAGTGGAATTTCAAAAGCTTGAACATCTATTATTTGCCCTTAGCTGTTTCTGAGACTTTGAGGCTTAATAAACATTTTTAACATACATGGGCATACATTTTTATTTTATCTTTTAAAGATTTCATTTACTTATTATTTACACAACATTCTGCCTGCATGTATGCCTGCAGGCCAGAAGGTGGCACCAGATCTTATTATAGATGGCTATGAGCCACCCAATGGTTGCTGGGAATTGAACTCAGGACCTTTGGAAGAACAGCCAGTGTTCTTCAACTCTGAGCCATCTCTCCAACCTGGGCATACATGATTATTAAGGCCATTTTACTGAAAATTAAGACTGAAGACTCAAGGGTGCCAACCTAATGTTTCCCACCTAGAACAGGAGTAAGCTGAGTCCAGCACAACTACTTCAGGCTTCTCTTCAGTTACCACAAATTGCTGGGGACATAAGGGAAAGGGGATCATAGTGCCACCTTGCTGTGGAGACCTCTAACTCCCCAGACAGACATGAATTCTCATGTTCAAGAAAAGGCTAGGGACACAAGTCTGCAGAGCAAAAGCAGCAAGCAGCTGAGGTGGTGGGAGGGACCCTGTGGACAGAGCGACAAACCCCTTCCTCCCCCCCCCCCCCCCACACACACAGCAAACACACTGCAAGGCCCTAACTCTGGAAGCATGGACACCATTACCTTTGCTGAAGGGACTCCCGTTCATCTTCCCGTTGCGTTGCTCAGTCTCACCATCTTGCTCATCTAGTTGTTCAAGAGCCAGCTGGCGCCAGCATCGCAAGGAAGACTTTCCCACCCAAAATCCGTCATTGCTGTGGAGGAGAGAATGTTAAGTCCTAGCAGGTGATTACCAGTGTTCCCAGTCTATCCCCTGAAGCCCACAACTAAAATGAATCACAAACACAACTGTTTTTTTTTTAAAATATTTATTTATTACTTATGCAATGTGTGTTAGCATGTACACCTGCACGCCAGAAGAGGAAACCAGATTTTATGTTTAGATGGTTGTGAGCCACCATGTGGTTGCTGGGAATTGAACTCAGGACCTTTGGGAGAGCAATCAGTGCTCTTATCCTCTGAGCCATCTCTCCAGCCCAACACAACTGTTTTTAATACAGTTCCTGATGTGAGCCATTTCACACCTCATTACTGAACTGCAGGTGTCTATTACTTTGTTTCCATCTCACATCTTGCCCTCTTTCTCATACTCAAGTTAAAATCCATGCCAATCATATCCAACCTTCTTCAACTGATCACCTCAGTACACACAGCTGTACCTTTACACTGGCACAAAGACAACTCGTGTATACACATCCTCATCGAGGTCACACATACACATATACATACACTCAGGCCACACAGGAGGCCTTGTGGAATGGCCCCGAAGGGAGCGAGGGGTCTGCTAGAGGGACATTAAAAGGAACAGACAACATGAGCACAGCAAATAGCTTCACTTAATGGCTCCTGGCTGAGCGGCAGGTGGTCTGGAGTGGAGTTCAAGACATACCTCCAAACACTGTTTCTTAAGGGCACCCCACTGAGTTCCGCTCTTCAATATCACTTCATCCCTGCTGAAGGAACACTGCCTTCCTTCACAGGCCTGCTGAAATGATTTTTCCACACAAGCTATAAGCCTGTACCTCTAAGTCTGAGTACTGACTCAAAGTCAGGCTGAGACCTTTCTTCTTCCACTCTAAAAATTGTGAAGACTGTGTCTAGCGCCACCCCCCCTTTTTTAAACAAAGTAAACACTGCAAAAATCCTTTTTTCTAAATTCTAGTTTAAGGGCGGGAAAGATGGCTCAATGGTTAAAAACACTGGTTGTTCCTTCAGAGGTCTCAAGTTTGATTGCCAGCACCCATACGATGGCTCTCAACTGTCTGTATACTAGTCTGTGGGTATCCAATGCCTATGTGGACAACAAGCATGCATGTGATGCACAGAAGAACATGCAGACAAAACACCTACACACATGAAGTAAATTAAAAAATTTAAGTTTAGCTTTAACACACTGTGTGTGCTGATGTTTGGGGGGGGGTGTACTATAGACACACGTGCACATGTGTGCTTGGTGGGACGGGGCTGAAGCCGAGGCATTCCTCTCTGTTTACTGAGGAAGGGGCTCTTCACCTGGAGCTCACTGGTTCCAGCTTGTCCAAGGAATCCCCTGTCCCTGCCTCCTAGAATTAGCCTAACTTTATACTGAGGCTCTGACCTCATCTTACACATTAGCAGAGCAAGCCCACTATCCACAAGGCTATATCCTCTGCCACAGAAAATATATTCTGTTTTTTGTTAAGAGTCCTGGGCTTGGGGGCTGGAGAGATGGCTAAGTGGTTAAGGAAACTGACTGCTCTTCCAGAGGACCCAAGTTCAAGTCCCAGCATCCACATGGCAGCTCACAACTGCTTATAACTCCCAAGATCTGACACTCTCACACAGACATACATGCAGGCAAAACACCAATGCACATAAAATAAAGGTTAAAAAAAAAAAAAAAAAAAGACCTGGGCTCAGTAGTAAAGCTAAAGCACTTGCTACCAAGTATGGCAGGTACCTGAGTTCAACCCCTAGGACCCACATAGTAGAAAGAGAGCCAGTGCCTGAAAGTTGGGTGTCCTTGTTCATGTCTGCACATGCTCCATGACATTGACACATATAAAATAAGCGAATGTAAAAAGAATTTAAAGGACATTCAAATCATGTAGCCCAGGCTGTCCTCCTGCCTCAGGCCCCTAGATGTGAGCCATGTTCTTACAAGCTTTTCCTGAGACCTGCTCTGCTATGCACCTTCCACTTTCTAACAGCCAACTCTTTTCTGTGAACGAGTAAGCAGCTGCCAGATTACTGCCTGGCAAAAGCACGCTATGTAACATACCCCTTCATTGTTGCTTTCAGCAAATTATTCACTGTTTTGTAATCTTCGTTCAGTTGGCTCTTCAGGCGCAGTACACGACAGCGTTCTACAACACAGTCTTTACACAGGGCTTTCACTGCAGGAAAGAAAGACACCAGAAATAAGTGACTCTGAGTGCAGGAGGGAGAGTCAACACATCTGAGCTCCATGCAGGTAATGGTCTCCTCATGGACACTACACTAGAGCAGATACTCTAGGAATCACAAGCAATTTAATTCTTTTTTGAGTTTAGAATTTCATTTATTATTACTGTGGGTATATAATGTGTGTGTGTGTGTGTGTGTCATGGTGCACATGTGTACACCCAGGGACCACATGGAGTCTGTTTTTTTCCATCGTGGGGGGGGGGGGGTGTCCCCAGGAATTGCTCAGGTCAACAGCCTTTGTGGCAAGTGATTTCACTTTCTGACCCATCTCACTGGTCCTGGAATGTTTTTTTCCAAAGAGCTTGCAGGAGCTGGAGAGATGACTCAGTGGTTAAGGGCATTTGTTCTTGAAAAGGACTCGAGCTCAATGCCCAAAACCCACATGGTGGCTCAAATCTGTTAAGTCCAGTTCCAGGGGATCTGATGCCCTCTTCTGACCTCCTTGGCACCAGGCACGCACATGGCATATAGACACACATGCAGCAAAAACATTCATAGAAGTAAGATCAGAAAAAATAGAGCTTTCCATTTTGAATGCAAAAACCTGTATATACAGAAAGGCCTAGAACATATAATTAAATGTTGGGCATAACCAAAAATAGCACTTAACGTCAGGAAAGTGAAACTGGAGGCCATGCAATTCCCTTAGCTTCACTGGAGATCCGGAAAGGAGCCACACTGCTAGCTGCTCATTAAAAAGAAAAGTGCGGGCATGTAGCATAGACACACATGCTGACCAAACACCCAGATACATTGAGCAAATAAATAAAAATTTTAAATATAAACAAATAGAACACTTTTTGAGACGCAGCAGCCAGAAGTAAACACACTGGCTATTCATCGTAATACACAACTCTGTACACCCAAGGGCCAATTAAGCATCCTTATAAACTAAGACTCTCCCAAACCTACAAAAGCAAGACCGGGATGGACCAAACAAAGGCTCAAGGCTTTTAAGAGTATTGTATAAGCTGGCAAGCTACAGTAGACTATTCCCTTTAAAGGCAAACTGTTTTGTCTGTACTCCATCAGCTGCCCAGCTTCACTTCTGCTCTACTTGGCAAATCCATTTTGCCAAGTGTATACCAACAGTTTGCTTCTATTTGTCACACAGCCCTGATCTCAACGATCACAGTGAAACTGCAGGCATTGCTCTTGTGCAGAGAAGAGACCCTGACTTACCAGTTAGTCTCGGACCTCCTCCATATCGACTGTAGAAGATGTCAGCCGCATATTCCGATATTCTCTTCATGATTGATATTTTATCTGGATGAAGCTTGTCATGGGAACACAGGCAAGCATGATTATCAATAGGTTTGGTGGGTGTTGATTCATCCAACCACTTCTGCAGCCATTCAAGAGAGACAAACTCATAGGGCTCTGAGAAATAAAGAAATGGAAAGAAACTATGTATTTTTACAGTTTTTGAACTAAGTGATACAAGCTATTATCCAAGACAGCGAAAACTTTGTCCAAAGTCAGCAGGATCGGAAGAACAGCTGGGAGGTGTCTGATGCGTGACTACAAATCCCAGTTGGCTATCGCTCTTATGAGCTCGACTTGTGCATGGAAAACACCTGCACAGAGCCCTGTGGGATCGGCGGGTATTATTAGCCACATTCTACAAGAGGCATCCAGAGAGACGTGCCTTGCTTGAGAGCACAGCAGAGCTTCCATGAGGACACCTGTGTGCTGGATGGAAAATTACCACCTCATCCCTTACTTTTCACAAGTATGTGATAAACATCTGAAAATTCAAATGAGTAGCTAGGATCAAGCTCTGAGATACAAATTAACCTTGTCAGCTACATCCACACTCACAAGCTCATTTCAACACTCAACTTCCCAGCATCCAAGACGAGGCTGGTGTTAAGGAAAAGTACTGATAATTCCCCCAAAGTCTTTGTTCATTTCATTGTTATTTATTTTAAGAAAATAACATGAGATAAGTTCTAGGATGCAGTACACTAGAACAAAATCAATAATTTTGAAATTCAAAAATTAATTAAAAACATCAGACATTTCAAAATTAATTTTAATTTGGGGAGAAGGAGTCCCAAAGTTCCCCAAAAGGCAAAATTAAAAGTAAAGGGACAGCTTTGATTACTTACAAAGATCTCCAGTGAGTCCCAGCATAAAACATAGGAGAAAACATACACAGGTTGAATTCATGTATATGTACCGTGTGCTACTTCTGGCGAGATCTGAGGGGCAAACACTTAAACACAAAGCTCGCTTTGACCAGTTTCACACGCCTCAGAGTCACACAACCAGAAATCTAACTCCCACTGAATTTTAGTGTAAAACATTTCAATGTTTTGATAAAAACAAAATTTGGAAGTGTCAGATCTGTTTTTGTGCTGAAACTGGACACCAAAGGGCCTCCTCTGATCAGCGCTAAGGTAGCTGCAGGGGGAGGTGGCAACTGGCAGTTGAGACCAAGGTTTAATCCGAGTTCTGCCTCAAGAAACTCAACATGAGCAAGTTCAGTCAGACTCTCTATGCTTCAGACCTTTAATTTGCAAAATGAAGGTAATAATACCTGCCTTCTACCTACCTCACAGAGATGGTGCTGAGTGTAAAAGATAAGATATGGGAAGCATTTTGAGCTTTTTGGAAGAAAAGAGATACAGAAAAGTTAATTATACATCCAAACAATATGTATCTATAAGAGGAGACCGTAAGACACAGAACAGGTAAAGTAAAATGGTGGTGGCATCCTACAAGATACCAGCAGAGCAAGGGCTAGCGATGTAGTTGAATGTTAGACTACTTGCCTAACATGAATGAAGCCCTAGGCAGAATCCCCAGCACCACCAATAACGTAATGAAAAAGCAAAATTGTAATACCTGCACGCCTGTAGTGAGGCACAACTCAGAGGCAGAGTGACTGCTTTGAACATGTGCTGCCCTCCTTCAATCCCCAGGACTAGGCCCACCCTGTGCCCCCCAAATCATGTCATAGCCAATTATATTAAAAAACGCTTCCCTTGTGCTGTTTTTCAGGTTTAGGATGGTTATCAAAAGAATGTGACCCAAACATATTTGAAGGAAATAAGTTTCCAAGAAGTTACTCCTTCCCCATACAAAATCTCAGAGTAAAAGTTTTGAATAATTTAAGTTTTTTAAGGTGGTGGGGGGGGGGGGGGTTGAAACAGGGTCCCATTTAAGGACTAATTATTCAGGTGTTCTGTTTTTCTAGCCCCCAGGAGGTGATGAATAGAGGACACCTTTTGTTGTTGAAGAAATACACCAAATGAATCTGGCTATTAAGATGCTGGGAGTGTTGACTCTCATCTGTAATCCCAGTACTCAGGGGTTGAGGCTGGAGGATTGCCATGTTTGAGACCATCAGGAGCTATATGGTTGAGTTCCATACCAGCTAGAGCTGGGATGAGACAGTGCTCCAAAAGACAAAAAAAAAAAAAAAAAAAAAAAAAAAAAATGTGACCAGTATAGGAGGGATCCTGGGATGACTAAAGAAGTACAACATGTTCTGGAACTCAAAGAAGGCAGGGGTCAGTCAGACTGTCCATCCTCTTATAGTTTATTTGCTCCTTTACCTTTGAAATGATTATGAATTAATATAAGATCCAAAGAGTAGGGGGAAAAACCCTACTTCTAACTTTACAGTTAAGAACAGCAAGAAAAAGCAGAGGTTGTGCCCACAATTCTGATCTAACATCCTACTCAGTATACCAACAAGTTTCCAGTTTTCGTTTTAGTGTGCTAGGATCCTGGGAAAGGAGGCATTAGCTGTGGTAATAGGTCTTTCAGGGTCTAGGACAAGGAAAGAGTCTTATGACCTAGACACAGTGGCAATGCTCCTATAATCCTAGCACCAAAAAGGCTGAGGCAGGAGGACTGCCGTGAATTTGAGGCCATCCTGAACTACAAAGACGATCTTGAAAACAGCAAAATATCATGTGACTTTAAAGTGAAGTATAAAAAAACCAACAACAACAGTGATTTTGAACACAACAAAGAGTCCTAAATAATTACAGCATGACCATTTATCTAGAATTCAAACAGCTTTGAGTGTACGTAACAGTATCCAAAAGGTTGGAATTTCTGGTGAGACTTGGATTTTTAGGGCATGCAGCCTTTCAAAAGAATGCTCTCCGAGTTGCAAACGGAGGCAATATAAAGCAATGGTTGCTTTAGAACATGGGGCTTCCACTATGCAAGGTTCCTGATAAGTCAAGGTAAAGAAGGCATCAGGACACCACTTGTGTTGAGTGTGGTTCATGACCTAGGACCTCTCTACATCCAAGCACAAGCTCCTCCCCCAAGAGCAGCACCCTCACTGCCTCACGCAGTGCTGTCTAGGGGCAGAAGTCCTTTTCGCTTGTGGGCACTAAAGAAACTGACTACAGTTGGGAGAACAGATTTCTAGGGCCACCTCCTCTGAACAGAGGCCATGAATTTGAGTGTTGTTAAGTTCGTCTCCTATCCAAGTAAAGGTCAATGATTCCTCTAGCCCCGAAACACAGTTCAAATAGGAAGTCAGAAAGAAGGACTGGATCAAACTGAACAGCATTTTAGAATGATTTTTTTTGCCCTTCTGGGTGCTGGTGTAGAAACCAGCCCCTGTCCATGTAAGAACACACTCTGTTCTTGAGCTGTACCACAGTCACTGAGAACATCCAGACTTCACACAGACCTTGCGATGTAAGTTATCTTTGATTTAAAATTACATCAGTAATGGGAAGTAAATACCAAAAGGCAAAACCAGAAGTACAATTATGCTTGAACACTTATTTTTCTTAAAGTTCAGACACACTATTCTTTTCCATATGCAGGAATGAGGCCGGGGGATTTATGTTGATGTGACAAACAATTCACAGCCACTGAAGGCATAAGTTAAATCTGAATAAACAAGGATACATGAAAAGATGAGCAGACTGTGTGGATAATTCTAAGCCAGGGGTGAGCTGGAAAGATTTCCTAGCTTAACATCTCCTACTAAACACTGTATACGGGTGCATCAGTTAGTACTTGTAGGGAATAAAATGTTTTTAAAAAACAGAAGGCTACAGCAATCCAATCAGATCTAGCTTTAGAAATATTTCATATCTCAAAGAAGAAAAAAAAACATTGAGATAAACTTGCTGTGTAGACCAGCCTGGCCTAAATCTCACAGAAATCCGCCAGCCTCTGCCCTCGAGGGCTGGGATTAAAAGCGTGCAGTGCAGCACCACATCTAACAGCAAAACTATCCTTTAAAAATTGATCACAGACATCACGTGTATGCATGGTAGCGGTATGAGGGTGTGCACAGGCAAAGGTCAGAGGACAGCACAGGAGTCACTTTTCTCCCACCAAGTGTGCTGGGAACACTCAAGGTTGTGAGGCTTGTCATCAAGCCCCGGAACTGCTGAGCCCACAGTAAGAAAGTCTCTACAGGGCAGGAGTGCAGAGTGCCGACCTAGGATTGCATTCATTAACAGCCTCCCACTTTGAAAAGGATGTGACGAGGAAAACTACATGGGATGCTCATGTGTAGTTACTACCAATTAGTATAGTGAGTTTAGAATGTGTGGGCGGGCCTCTAAGAGGACAAAATGGGTTTTTCATGTACACTGCAGCACTGAACGACACAAACAGCACAGCACACAACCCCAAGCAATCGACGGCAGTAGTGTGTCCTGGAACATCTCACAGACCAGCTCCAGCAGGCAACCTTTGGTACAGCTCCTTCACCTCCTCGTGCTTCGCTCGGCCCTTGTCCACGCTCTGCTTGCGCATCTCAGCCATTTCAACACACCATTCCTCAAACTTGGAATTATCCCGATCTACCAGCTCTTGAAGAAAGGCTGCACAGAGAAACAGAAACCAGCCTTATGCTCACTTCCAGAGACAGAGACTACACTGACGTGTACATTGTCATCCTGTGATGTGTGGACACAGTAAGGAAAACCTACCGCAGTTTGGCTTTGGCTAGACCTCCAGGCTAAAGACAGGAGGGACTGCAGGAGCAATGGCCAGGCGATCCCTGCGCACACTGCCCAGACACATCAGGTAGCCCTACACTGCAGCATGTGGGACCCACCAAGGGCACCTTTAGTTCCACAAGTTTAACAAAATAAAAACCAAATGTCAATCTATGCTATTAAAAACTCCTTCTGCCTTTCTCTGGGGTTGGGTGATAGAACAGTACAAAGGCATAGTCATTCCAAAAGCTCAGTAACTGGTAAGTGACCAGCACTTACAGACCTGTCACAGTGAGCAACATGGTGGTGGTCATTAATTAACCCAAGAGTACAGAATTCCAAGACATTCCCAGAAGCAATCCAGGACAAGTGCTTACCTGGGACTTGAACCGTTGTGTGGTTCTTTTCCTGGGTTTGTAGTCTATAAACCAACATGTATGCATTTCGAGAGCAGTGAGTTCCTTTACCACACTTGGGTTTACGGGTCTGAGATTTAGAAGGTTCTGCTGGGAAAAATAAACAAATAAATAAAAGACAACTTCACTAGATAGTCTGTACTTTAGGGGTCTGGTGTGGAAGGAAAATACATAAAAAATGACTTATATGACTCAGTAAATAAAGAGCCTGCTGCACAAACATGAGCTGACTCCATCCCCAGAAACCACATTTAAAAAGCTAGGCATGGTGGCACATACCTGCAATCTCAATGTTCAGGCAGTGCAGATGGGCAGATCCCTGGGGATCTCTGACCCTAAACAAGCTCCCAAGTTATTTAGAAACCCTAGATTGACCCGGAATTTCTGCGTGTGAGTGCATGAGCAGACACACGCACACCCGATTCCTAAGAGCTGGAGCGCTGGCGCAGCAGCTGAGAGCCCTGACTGCTCTTGCAGAGGACCAGAGTTTTCGGTTCCCAGTTCCAAGTGTCAGTTCCCAACCACATGTAATTGTACTTCTGGCCTCCGCGGGCACTGGGAGCATGTGGTGCAGTTATAGACAGGCAAAGGACTCTCACACACACTTCAAAAAAAACTTTTTAAATGTCTAAAATAGCCTGGCAGTGGTGGCGAACGCCTGTAATTCCAATACTCAAGGAGGCAGAGGTAGGTGGACCAGTGTGAGTTCGAGGCCTTCCTGGTGTACAAAGTGAGTCCAGGACAGCCAAGGCTACACAGAGAAACTCTGTCTCGAAAAGCAAAAAGAATAAATAAAGAGATAAGCTCTAAAACATTAATGTAGCAGGTCCTTAGATGGTTTACACTATTCTTTACATGTGCGCATGCATGAGCAAAGGCACACTAAAAAATTATCACATACCCGCTCCAGCTTTTTCTTTTGAGACGTCTCACTACGTATACCTGTTGGCAAGCTTTGAACTTCCTAAGTAAACCAGGCTGGCCTTGATCTCAGAGTGCTAAATCAAAGGTGTGTACCACCTTGCCTAACCCTAAATGTCAGTCTTCAATTATAAAAACTAATCCAAAACTGGGTGACTCCTTCACTCAGGGAGTCTGAGGCATGAAGATCTTAACAAGTCTAGGGACTCAACAGTGAACCTCAGGACAATCTAAGCTTTAGGAGGCCCTATCTTGATACACCATCCCACCCACGGAGTAAAAGCAGACAAAAGAAAAATACAAATATGTGCATAGTTATAATATCAGAACGTGGAGGAGGTAAGTATTGGCACAAGTTTAAGGCCAGCCTCGGTCACATAATAAAACTGTCTCAAAAAATCCAAATGAGAAAGTTATTAAAATACCAGAATACTGCTAAGCATAAAAATTCTCTTAAGTTCTTTTAAAGTTGAGGACTACCTACACATAAAATGGACAGCAGACCCTAAGAACTCTTTTTAAATACTTAGTTTTCAATTGTGTGTGTGGACATGGGAACATGAGTACAGGTGCCTGCAGAGGCCTAGGAAGGTGTCAGCCCACCTAGGGCTGAGTCACAGGTGTCGTGAGCCCCTAGATGTGGGTGCTAAGAACCAAACTCTTAGCCTCTTGGAGAGCAACAAGTATTCTTACCAGCTAAGCCAGGCAGCTCTGTAACAAAGACTTTAAATCTTACAATTCTATTGCTACAATGTAGACAGCTGCAATAAACTTCAGTAAGAAACTCCCAAAATGAAACCACAATTATTTACAATCTAAGGTTTATTTTAAGAAAAGCACAATAAGCCCAGCAGGTGCCCAAGCTTTTAATCCCAGCACTCAGGGAGGCAGAGGCAGGCAAACCTCTGAGTTCCAGGCCAGCCTGGTCTACAAAGGGAATCCAGGCCAGCCAAGGCTACAGGGAAATCCTAACTCGAAAAACCAATAAAACACACACAAACAAAATAAAGTTAACGCCCCCCCCCACCCCCACACACACAAGAACTACAGTGAAAATTAGGAAGCCAAATGTCAGCACAGTAAAACTGGAACTCAAGCCCAGCTTGACCTAAATCGCACATCTCAGACCTCTTTGGAACACTTATTCCCCGGGGGCTGTGGAAGTTTGGCATGGAGGGCTGACGGCTGGTGAAATACTGGCACTAGGACTGGTCCTCACTCCTAGTGCACTCTGCTGCATGGCTCATCTTGGCTGGGTACCACAACATAACTCCTGGCCCTAAAAGCCAATTCACACCTTCTCTGCCAGGAAGGACCAAACTGCCCTGAAACCATGAGCTTTGGCTCTTCACAGCTTTCCCCACTCCAGCTTTGTATGTCAGACATTGCAAAGCTGACAAGAAACAGGCACAGTCTATAAATGGAATGGGATTTAAACATCCAAAGCCAATCAGGCCCAAGTGCCAGTGTTCCTCCTTCATTGGACACCTTGGCAACTGCCTGGCAGTGTGTGTGTGTGTGTGTGTGTGTGTGTGTGTGTGTGTGTGCGCGCGCGCGCGCACGCAGTGCAGTCAAGTCGCTTCAGAACAAGGAACCAAAAGTTCCAAAAGGAACCTTGAAGCAAGAAGTACTAACAAAAGATGCCTAGTTGTTTTAAATATCCTCAATCATTCTTAACAATCTTGGGCCATGACAATACCAAACACTGCCAGTAAGTACATTTATATTTTAAGCCAGGCATGGTGGCACATACTTTCAATCCATCACTCAGGAGGCAGAGGCAGGCAAATCTCTTTGAGTTCGAGGACAGCCTGGTCTCTACATAGTGAGTTCTAGGACAGACAGGGCTATAAATTGAGACCCTGTCTCAAAAACAACAAAATTTGTATTTTAAAAGGGCACTCACAACTTAAAGGTTTTACCTAGATCTTCCTCAATCCCTAGTTGTAATTTCTTCCCCTCCATCTTCTCTATGTCCTCATCGTTGAACTTATACCATTCTCCAGATTGAGGGTCTTTCACATGGGCAATGTAGTGGCCAGAATAAGCACTCACTCCTCTGTGGATGAGGACTGCGCTGAGCTCATACACGAAGGACCCACCTACAAAGAGAAAAAGGCATAAGAAAAACTTTCTACCTTAGCATACCTTACAGCTTGAACATAACTGACATCACTTATGCATTTGGCAGAATACAAAATGTGACACCTAAGAGCTGGGCACAGTGGCCACACCTCTTAGACCTAGCATCCCAGAGACTGAGCTAAGAGGGCACAGCTAAACTACTCAAATGAGCAAAGAGGGACCTGAGGTAAAAAGATGTTTACAAAGTATCTTAATAGGTGCCTTAAAAAACAGTCCTGGCAACTGAACAGAGCTTTCACAAGTTGGAGGACAGTGTGGGCTGTTTAGTCGATTCTAGGCAAGGCTGGAACACAGGCAAGACATGTCTCAAAACAACCAACTTTGTTTTTTGAGACACGTTCTCCCTATGTAGTCTTGTCCTGACCTGGAACTCAGCTATTTAGAACTCAAATTCCCAGAGATCCACCTGCCTCTGCTTCTTGAGTGCTGGAAGAATAGGTGTGCTCCACCATGCACTACTCAATAAAACCTTACAACATTTGGGAAAAGCAACTGGGTGTGGTAATTTGTATCTTTAATCCCAAAACTGGAAAAGCAAAGGCAGGAGGATCTCTGTAAATTCCAAGCTAGCCTGATCTACATATATATGTGTAGACAAAACACTCAAACACACAGAATAAAAGTAAAATTTAAAACAAAAATCAGAACAAACCCTTTAAAAAAAGAGGATGGTTCCAGCACCCAAAGGGAGGCTCATGACTATCCATAACTGGATCTAATGCCCTCCCCCTCTTCTGATCTTAGCAGGCACAAGGAAGGTTCACATATACAGAGAAAACATTCATACACAGTAAAAAATAAATAAAAAAAAATAAGCCTAAACAAAGTCTTAAAGGAAAAAACTACTTACAATGACTAAGCATGATCACCACAATATATGGCACCACTTCCATACCTATAGATACTTCAACTGGTGACAACTGGAAACGTTCAGAAACAAACCAAAAGCCTCCACAACATTCAACTTTGATTATTTCATTGTTGCAACATTCTTAACTTTATCAATCAATAAACAACAAACATGCAGGACCCTGTCTTAGACTAGAGGAAGATAGCAGTTAACCAAAGAACAAAATCCCACAACCTGTGTAACTTAGTGAGAAGACTAATAGGTGAACCAAAACTCAGGGTTAAGATAAAAATACCGGGGAAGGATACAATTATTTCTGAATTGGGCCACGGAGAATACCGGGGCTCCTGAGGTAGGAGGGAAGGCAGGAAAACAGAACGAGATGAACGCTTTTGGGCCAGCTAGTCTCAAAGTATACCAAGGCAGCAGACATCAACAAGGCGTTAAACAACTGACACCCCACGACACTCACGTACACAGTATTCTTATGTCTTTATTAAATGTACTGATCAACTGGCAAGAACTAAGAACTGAACAGTAAAGCAGAAAGCTAATCAGGGCAAGGCCTGTACGGGATTTCTTTCTGGTACCAATGGTACGCGAACACTCCTACTCTTCAATTTTCCTAAGATACATGGAACTGTCAACTTGGGTCAACCATATCATGCAAAAAATCTCCAATTTTGTCCCTGCTTCCCTGGCAGATAAGCTCCCCAGTTCATCTCTACTTGTACATGTTCAATATTTTTAGGCTCTACAAGTGAGTAAGATCTTAAAGGATTTGACTTTTTATACCAGGCTTATTTATTTCACTTTCAATTCTGGGCATCCATTTTTATCCTTGTCAAAAATGGCAGAATTTCTTTGGAGCTGTAAAGTATTTCATTCTGTAAATATGCCATGTTTTCTTTTAAACTAGAGCTCTTAAGTTTACTAAGTAACGGAAATGAACTTTCCTGCCACAACAAATAGTTATGGAAAATTATTAGCTATGGTGATTTGAATGAAAGTGGACCCCATGGGCTCAGACATTTAAATGTTCGGGCTCTGAGAGGCCCCTGCCTGGATGGCAGCAGTGGTTCTAGGGGGAGACACCATGGGCCTGGAGTGTATCTTCCCCAATCAAACTGAGGACTTAGGGCCACATCAGGATCCTACAGAAGGAACTGGGGATTGGAGCAGTGAAGAACCCGAGGAAGAGCAGGAGGAAACGGGAGCAGGACCAACAGGGTACTCGTACCAGCCCCTCAACCAAGATCCTGAACAAGAAGAGGTGGAACTTGCCCCAGTGGGTGAAGGAGAAGATGGAGCTGCTGACATCCAAGATCGGATTCAGGCCCTGGGGCTTCCATTTGCCAGACCCACCAATAGAGAGCGAGGATGAAGATGAGGAGGGAGCTGCAGCATTGAGCAGCCACAGCTCTATCCCCATGGACCCAGAACATGTAGAGCTGGTGAAAAGGATGATGGCTGGAGTAAGCTTGCCTGCACCAGGGGTTCCTGCCTGGGCTCGGGAGATATCGGATGCTCAGTGGGAAGATGTGGTCCAGAAAGCCCTCCAAGCCCGGCAGGCATCCCCTGCCTGGAAGTGACCACACAGAGAGAACTGCCTTATCCCCCTATATTCCAAGCCAGGACCAGCACAGGACTAACAACTCTGGTTCTAACATCCATCTCCAGATGTCCCTTTTCACATCAAGGCAAATCAGACCTCTCAGAGACCTACTTTATTCATTTCTGTACATATGGGGACATTGGCAAGAGCCCAAACCCATGTATCACTCTGTGGAGAATAAAGCACCCTATGTACACAGCCAAAAAAGAAAAAAGAGACACACTTACAAAAGAATCAGACTGCAATCAGCTCAACAGTGGTGGCCAAGACTGCGGAAGGACAGCCACCTTGCAGTGAGCATAAGCAGCTGTCTACACTGAGAAGGAGTGTCACAAGGACAAAGTCTGCTTTCAGAAGATGACATACATGAACAGAGAAGAAAATCTGCCAAAAATAAAAAATAAAACAATTCTATGCCAAAGAATTTTATACACAATAACTCAATAAAAAAGTATGATTTCCAGGGCAGGACAGTTCTCGTCACATAAGCGTAAGCACCTTGCTCTGATGACAAGCACCCACCCACTTTCAAAAAAGCAAGGCATGAGGTAAGGAGCACGTGAAGGTGCTCACCAACAAGCTTGTCGACCTGGATTTAATCCCTGGGCCCCAAGGGAAGAAAAAAAAACAACTCGAAGGTGTTCCTTGACCTAACATGCACCCTGGCACGTATAAATGCGCACACACACACACACACACACAAAATAAGTATTTTCTTTATAGCAAGGTATGGGTGGCATGCCAGTGCTATATAGATGGAGGCTTACCTAGCCTAACTCACAAGGTCCAAGCCCAGTAGGAACATGTTACCTACCCCCACATGAAGAAAGAAGAGAAAGGGAGAGAGCTCTTGAAGTTGGCTATTGGCCTCCACATGCATGCACACTCGTGTACCCACAGGACAGACATGAATGCATACTCACAGATACACATACACTAAATAAAATTATTCCAGAGGCGGACTTCCTAGCACATGCCAGCCGGCCCCCCTCCACAGCACAGCAGGGCTAGTTACACGTTATCTTTGCCTGACAACCTCCCAGCAGGCAAAAAGAATAAACCCAACTATCAAGTCAAGGGAAAGGGAATTTGTAGCAATGTTTAATGGCAAAACAAACAACAAATGGGGGGGGGGGGGGGTTTGAAAAGATGAGAGGGACATTCAGCACCCAGTGAGCGGAGTTTGCTAGAATGATTCCTCTTCTTTTGGGTGGTTCAAGCAGATGAACTTCCATGTGTTTGCAGAACCACACATTTTCTATTTTGAACTTTTATCAATGTCTTATATATTTTGCAATCAAAAGGAAAGAAGAATCTGATGAGACATGTAAAATTTCAGTGTGATTACTTTTTTTTTAAATGTTCATTGGTGTTTTGTCTTTTTTAAATGTTCATTGGTGTTTTGTCTGCATGTCTGTCTGTGTAAGGGTGCCAAACCCCAGGAACAGACACTAGTAATTTGCCATGTGGGTGCTGGGAATTGAACCTAGGTCTCCTCTGAAGAGTAGCCAGTGCTTTTAACCCTAGAAGTCTCTCTAGCCTCCTAAGTGCGCTTACTCTTACAGAAAGTAACATCTTATCACCTCGTCAAAAAGCTGCTACTCAGATAATGCAACTGAGATCTGAGGAACACTGCAGCTGTGCACAGCTGTGCACTACTGTGCACGCAGAGAGCAGGCCGAAGGTGCAGGCTCCTCTCAAGCTAACGACAGTCACAGCTTGGGAAAAGTAGTACCTTTGTGCTCCACATAAGGCTCCATGTCCAGACTCTCCGAGAAGCCGATGTAGGCGTTGAGCTTCTTCTTGTGTCCAGTTTGCCTGCCATAAAGGGACAGCCAATCACCAGCAGGAACGTGTGCACACACCCATGGAGCTGGAGCCCACCCAGTCGGCTGGCACACGGGCAAAGGCTCAGGTCCTCTGCAAAGCTGACACCTAACAGAGCTCGTGTGCAGAACCCCCTTATTTTAATTATGAGATGAAAGATACATTTCCACGGAGAGGAAAATTTTATCTGAAATACACAATCATATAGGTAATTCACATCCTTACAGTTTTTAATGAAAAAGCTAAGAAATTAATAGGAGGTACAAACAGATCCTCTTTACACCTCCAGCTCCCATCCACATACAACTGACCTCTTGAAGATTTTATTGTACCATCATGAAAGAACAAAAGGCTCCATGTTGAGTCACTGTACCTTTGTCTTCTCTGCCATCTACTTGGCACAGACTTACCTGTCAAACACAAAACGCATCAGCTGCAAGTTCAGAGTGCAAGGGAGGCTTAGAAGTCGAATCTTCCTTGTAGCATTCTGTTTGCTTTGACAGTTTTCACAGAAGTATCGATTGTCTCCTTCTAATTTTTCTTCCTGATTAGGAATAAAACAGACTAGTTAGGAAGGATGTGAAGCAAGCATTGAAAGCTCTGCTGTAAGCACAGCTTTTATAATTAGTAGCTTCTATCCAAATGAGGATGCCATATTCTTCCATTTTTCTCCTCCTCTTCTCTCCCTCTCTCAGGGGCCCTCTGCAGTTTCTCTGGCCAGCTGCTTCTTCTCCCTAATCACTTCATAGGTCAGGGCTAGACTGGCCCTACCTTCCCCCTCATTTCTCCCCTTCAAGACATGTTTAACACCAACCTTTGTGTACGTATGTGCTATGTGGTGCTGACATTCACCATGCTGAACAAGCTCTCTACTACAAAGCTGTGCATCAGGCCAAGCTCTTTTTTCAAGGTCTTATGCAACACAAAAAATAGTCTCTACCTAAGGTAGCTGAAGCTGGCTTTGAATTCCTGACTTTCTACCTCCAGTATTCAGCTCTATCCTCATCTCTAAAAAAATACTTCCAACCCTGCCCTTCTCAGTCTTCTTCCATCATAGCAATAACAACTGATTGTGCCACAAACCTTAAAAACCCTTGACTTTCACCTTCATACTCAGCAAGTGCATAAGTTTGACTGACTACTCTGAACATACAAAAGCCAGCTAGCTAACCAGTGCTGCTCAGCACTTCAGCTACCCCATGGTCCTGGCAGCCAGCATCTGCATTCTGTTCTGCCCAAGCTCCACCCTTCAGCCCCTTCAAGACCGCACCTGCAGTCATCCTTTTGAACACCGCATGGTCCCATGATCACAGCTGTGACAGTCTTCGAGCCTCTCCGCTGGGACCATCTCTACCCAGCTACTCGGTTTCTGTCACTCTTCCCTTGCTCAAGCACTATGCCACACACACCTTCCTGTTCTTAAACCACAGGCCCGGTCCCACCTCAACTCTGCCCTTGTTGTTTCAGATCCCTTCTGCTTTCTTGTACAGCTCACAGGTACTGCAATTGTTTCACTTCAAACTGCAGCCAGCCCCCGCCTCACTGTTCCTCTCCACAGCACACAGTGTAAATTCTACTCTAATTTAGTTAACGAGCCTCTGGTAGCCATGCAACAGCACAATAACCTCCACTAAGCTGATTTTGCCTGTTTTGGCCAATACTGTTAGCCCAACACTGCCACTGTGATTAATGCTACAAAGTAAAGACTCAGTATGTCTTCAGCTGGACAAACTCAGTGTGATTAATGACACGGAGATGCTAATGTGTACAAGAGTGATGAACACACGATGCTTCTAAAGACTGGAAGTTGTGTACTCCAAGCCCATCAATCACCGTCCGCCTGGTCAGACTTGATAACCAAAGGCTTCCTTCCTCACGGCAGTTTCCCCTTCGAAGGAAAGGGAGCCACCTCTATCTACCTCTGCAGAACTCAAAACACACATAAAGCAGAAACACAGAGGGAGAGGCTATATTTCAACTTAACACATTCTATTTTTTATATGAGAAGAGAAATTAGCTTTATGGTAACAAAGTTAAGATTTCTTTAAATACTATGCTACTTGTAATATGTAATATTTCTTTAAATACTATGCTACACATGTACCTTTACACACTTACTGAAATTAAGTTAAGATGCAGACTGCTTTGGTAGAGGTTCCTTTACAAGAACAGCTTATTTCTTATTTAGAAAAGTCTCCAGCTGGGCACGGTGGTGTACACCTGTAATCCCTGCACTGTGGGAGGCAGATCGCTGTGAGTATGAGGCTAGCCTGGTTTACAAAGTTAGCCCAGGACAGCCAGGGCCACACAGAAAAACCCTGTCTCAAAAACAAACAAAAAAATAAAAATAACCCTCCCTCCCCGGAAAAAAAAAAAAAAGTCTCCAATAATAGATGTACCTATGAGTCAAAATGCTACCCAAAATAGCATGGAACCACTCCGAGCAGAAGCTGTGTATACTGATATACAAGTACCTTCAGGAATTCGGAGATGCAGTCTGTTAACTGCTTGTGGCCTTGAATGTTTAACTCCAGTTCATAGAACTTCGATAAAAGCTTAGACTCTCGGCCACACTGGTTGCAACTGCAATGAGAAAACAAACAACAATAAAATTGAAATCAGAGTGAGAAAGAAGGGCAACCCAGTGTCACGGCAGCACATCTCATATCTGATATCCTGCATATCAAGATATTACACCATGACTCATATCAGTAGCAAAATTTGTTATGAAGTAGCAGCAAAATAACTTTATGGTTGGGGACAACCACGACGTGAAGAACTGTTGAAGGGTTGCAGCATTAGGAAGGGTGAGAGCCAGCGCACTAAAGAGAGGAGGGGTGTGTTTATAACCTTATTTTGTTACAGAAAGTAACATATAAACTACAGGTAAAAGAAGACAACACCTGACTAGGGAATCAGTCAGTCACTTAAGGACTAGAACATCCCCAAGAACTGTTGGCCCTGATTTGGTTTGCCAGTTCCAACCTTACATTTCAGCCATACAGTACAGTCGTCAAAGACTTCAGCCAGACAGTTCCCAACACTTGGAAGCACTCAACTGCAATTGGCAAGTAGCTGCTTTCATGTTCCCATGGAAATGTTCTGCTATAAATACTTCAGGTCCCACGATAATCCACCACACTGGTAACCTGGCACTGAACTGAAAGGTAAGGCCAAGGGAGCTGCAATAGACTCACACAGTCACATAGGCATACTCCCCACAGAACTGCTGCTGCACGATGTTCCGAACATCTGGATTCTTCTGTTTAGACAAAGTGTCTTCCAACAGTGACATAAAGAGCTTGGAAAACTCTTGTGCATCCTACAGTTTAAAATAATAGAAAAAGAAAGTTATAGCTTGCTTACCGACTTCTAATGCAAATGCTACTCAGAAACTACCTGTATTTTCAACTTAGCATTTTACCACAAACACTACAGCTATAGTCAATGAGTCTCACAAGTCAGTTTGAAGAAATAGCTGACAGGCTGGAGAAATGGATGAGCAGTTAAGAGCACTGGCTGCTCAGCAGTAGGCCCAGCTTCAGTTCTCAGCACCGACATGGTGACTCACAACTATCTCTAACTCCCCTCACAAAATATCTGATACCTTTTAGCCTCCTCAGGCATGAGGCACGAACAGACAGTGCACAGCTATACATACAGGCAAAACACCCAGACAGTAAAATAAATAAAAAACAAAACAGAATTTTTAAAAAGGGAGAAAATACAAAACACAGGCAGAGAGATGGCTCAGCAGTTAAACTCTCTCTGCTCCTCTAGAGGACCTCTCAGCTCACAACACCCACATCAGAAGCTCACAACCACCTGTAATTCCAGTTCCAAAGGCTGCAACACCCTCTTTTGGCCTCCATGAGCACCTAAGCACACAGAGTATATATACACACATGAAAAATGGCAAGCATAATAGGAACATATTGGTCAGTAAATGAAGAAGATTGTCTTACAGCTAGATTATCAGTATATAGGTCTGGTTGTCCTGGAACTCTCTATGTAAATCAGGTTGGCCTCAAACTCAGAGATCTGCGTGCTTCCCAAGTACTTGCATCAAAGGTGTTTGCCACCACAGGCAGCCACAATTTACATTTTAACAAGGCCCTGTTTCATCTTCCCTAGAAAGGCTCTAAGGAACACATGAGCACCTCTGAAGATGAGAAGAGGGGGTAGGAGGAGAGCACGGAAGTTGTGCTTACCTGCTGTTGCCCAGTATCCAAGCCCAAGGCTTTAACAAATCCTGAAGGATCAATGTATCGCCTGTTACTGTTTTGCAACAAAGCAAACAAGTACTGTAGATGCTCACAAATTGTCTGAGGCTCATAATCTATTGGAAAAAAAAAAGTTTCAAGTTTCACTTGAAGTTTACCTACTTCCAGCTAAGCATAGTGGTACATGCCCATAATCTCTGCACTTTTGGACAGGACAAGATCATCAAATTTCAGGAGCATCTTTGTCAGCCTACATGAACGTAGATGCTGACTTTTTAAATTAAAAAGGGGGTGAGGGGCAGGTGTGGTGATGCTCACATTTAATCCCAGCACTTGAGGCAGATGCACCACTGAGGCCTTAAGTCTGAGGCCAGACTGTTCAACATTCTGAGTTCCCAGGCAGCCAGGGCCATGTAGAAAGACCATGTTTCAGCTCCCAACCAAGCCCCAAAACAGTAGAGACAGGTTGAGATGGGCCTGGAGAGGTAGCTCAGGAATTAAAAGTACTGGCTGATCTTCCAGAGGACCTGGATTCAATCCCCAGGCTCCACGTAGAAGTTAACGATCGTAACTCCAGTTCCAGAGAGTCCAATGCCATTTACCAGTATCAAGCACACACATGGTGTACAAACATACATGTTAGCAAAACACTCATACTCATAAAATACAGTAAAATTTAGAATGCTTTATTTGTACTTCATGTGTATGACTGTTTTAGCTCTACGTATGCATATACACTGTATGACTGCTGGCACCTAAGAGATCCAGAAGAGGGCACTGGACCCCTGGGAACTGGAGTTACAAATGATTGTGAGCTGCTGTGTAGATACTGGAAATCTGAATCCAGGTCCTTTACAGAAATAGAAAGCAAGCAGCTGAGCCAGCACCTTTCCAACTAAAGAACAAGTAAGTTTTTCTGAGGGGGTGGGTGGGGGTATTTCTTTCATTTATTGATTTGCTGGTTAATAGGCGATGTCTTCTGTATATCAGGCTGACCTCAAACTTCTTATATACTTGAAGATGACCTGGAAATTTCACTAGAGAAAAACCTTATAAATAAATGAATAAATAAGTAAATAAATAAAAAACAGCCAGAGAGATAGCTCAGCAGTTGAGAGCACTGGCAGCAATTCTAAAGGACTCAGATTCCAGAACATGGCAGCACAGCTGTCTGTAAGTTCAGTTCCAGAGATCTGATGCCCTCACACCAATACACATAAACCGAAACAAAAGCCAGTGATGCACGCCTTTAATCCCAGCATTTAGAAGGCAGAGGCAGTGAACGGAGTTCTAAGCCAGCCTATTCTACAAGAAATTCCTGGACAATGAGGGTTACACAGAGAAAATCTGTACTGAAAAAATTAAATTAAAAACTATTAAAAAAATTAAAATGGCCAGGCATGGTGGCGCAGTCCTGCTATCCCAGCACTCTAGGAGTCAAAGGCAGGCGGATCACCGTTTGAGGACAGCCAGGGCTACACAAAGAAACCCCATCTCGGGGGTGGGAGGGGGAGATGATGTTTACAGCATCACAGTTGGCATGGGACCAGCATTCACATTTCCCCTTCAGAGGAAATGGCAAAACCCTCAGCAGGTAGCACCTGCTCCCCCATCCCTACAGACCTTTTCCTCCGTGAACACCATCTCCCATCTTGTAGTCAGCACAGGTGCTTGGGCATAAGTATAGTGCCTGCCGAAGCTCCAAGTTGAGGAACCACACCTGGAGAAAGGTGTTGACATAACAGGTGGCTCCCAGGTTAGTCAGGCCCACAAAGGAATTCTACAGAAACGCAAAAGTTACGGTAGCAACATTAGCCTCCATGAAACTGAAGTTTTATAAAGGTCATTATTCTTAAATTTATGGACTAAAGATTTTTAAATCACCAGCTTGGCATGACCACCTGAACCCCCTCTTGGCTGCAGGTGGGGCAGACCTTTCATGAAGGCCTTTTACTATGGTGGCCGACCATAGTAGAAAAGACTCTAGATAGCAACAGTGCTCAGATGTTCCTAAAAAACATGTAGTCTGATGCTTTTTATTATGCTTCTAAATGCCAACACTTAGAAGAATGACAAAAATGAGAGTTCTACAAGAGACAAGAGAGGAAGGAGAGCCCTCCTATTTCAGGGATCTACAACCTAAAACAAGGATCCCTTCAACTTGAGAAAATACGTATGTACGTACATATTACATAAGAATACATACTACCTTAGAGAGCAAACGGACACCATCGTGGCAACTTGCCATTGAATCAGCACCACTCCTTTTCATTCTCAGCTCTAAACACTCTAAACACTCATTCTCAGCGCTAAACACCTGCTCTCATTACAGCAAGCCCAGATGGCCTAAGGGCTTGCATACAGGCGCAAGTGGGGGCTGGAGATATAGCTCAGTGTAGAGCTTGTCCAGCATGTACATGACCCTGGGTCTAATCACTAGCCCAAATAAGTAGTTTTACATAATTATAATGCCGTTAGTGTGGCTTATTTAGACTTTTTGAAATTAAAAAGCAAGAGTTCAAAAGCACATGGCCAGTCTCCAGTCCTCTGGCACCTACACAGGTTCCCAAGATCGATACGTTTATGGTAATTTATTTCTTTTTTGCTTCTTTTTCAGAGCTGGAGGGGTGAGATGCAGGGTCTCTCCCATCACTGTGGTCCATGTCCACTATAACAGGTCTCTGAGGATCACAAAACAAGCCCTCCCAACCGTGACACTCACCTTCTTCCTCCTCTCACAGTTGGGATCA